AGCCTTGTCACCTGTGGTCTGCATCTCTTTCTACCTTGGGTTACTGAAACTGCTTTAAATAAAATTATTTTTTATAGGAAGTAAGAAGTAGATTAGAAGTAATACTTCTATACAGAATAATTGTTTTCATATTATTCAGTGAAATTGTGTAAGTAATGGGTGTAAAATAAACATGAGTGGAAAATCTTTGTTCTCGATATATTGCTCTGTTTTTTTAACAAAATAAGGTACTCATTTTAAAATCAACAGTTCATTAATAAATTGAGTATTGGAGTAGCAGATACACACACTAGAGTTATTACAGATACTTGGGGGGGAAGGTGGAGCTGCCCTGAAGTGGGTAAACCTGTTTTGATCAAGGCTTGAATTAAAGCTGTTCAGACTGTTCCTGTTCAGCGCTGTGTAAATTTTGAACAGTCTTTCCTGAGTTGCAGCTCAGTGCTGTGAGGAGAAAGGGAACTCCTTGGTCTCTTGGGGATTTGTGCATCATCTCAGCCTTGCTGGTAGTTGGTATTAATCAGTTAACTGTCACCCAATAATGAATTTTTCTTACAAACTTTGTAATGTGTTCTTCCACTGTTTGGAGAGACCATATTATCTGCTCACACTTAGTTCTGACATATTTATATATATATATATATATATATATATATATATATATATATATATATATATATATATATATATATATATATTTTTTTTTTAATGAGGAGAAAGGGAAAATGACTGTGCTGGAATCGCTGCAGAATTTTAGCAAAAACAATGCTTGCTTTCCTGGCCGTGTGGTGAAAGCTGAGATGGTGATGCTGACCACAGTTACCAGAAGAGACCTAAAGCTGAAATTTTCAGTTGTACTCTAATGTTAATAAATTAACTGATAGAATGGGACACAATTTTATTCTTCTCAAAACACAGGCAATTCAAAATTAAATTTTAATGGACTCAAGTTGTTTATGTGATTTAAAACCCTTTTGTTTCAACCCATTTTTAATATTACATTAAATAAAAGTTTCAATCTGGAAGAAATTGTTTGAAATAAAGAAAAATACTCTAAAGAAGTAACAAATGCTGGAGGTATACTGAAAGTTCTGTTCAATATTGACACATGGAGTTCAAAAGACAAAAGCTTCATTTAAAAATCTCCAGCCCATTTTGTAATGGGCACCTTACAATGCTGGTAGTATTCTCCAATGCAGTGGACTCTAGGTGTATATTCCAATGTCATTCACTGCTTCAAATCAGGTGATAAACTATATCAAATTTGCAATATGTAGGCCCTGCAGAAACATTCTGCTTTCAAAAATTTAAGAATGTTTAGCATATATAGAGTTGAGCACTGATTTGTGTTTGTGTGTATATAAATACAGCAAATTTTATGCAAGTTTTACTGTTAAAGCAGTCTGAGTTCCCTGCTGATGTAATCTCCAGTAGTCACAGGCTAAGTAGGAAAGGTTTTACAAAACTTTGAAGAGAATCTCGTGATTTAGGTTAATAACTGCCTGTCCTGAAAAGGAGATTTTTCAAATCTTTGCTGCTTCTCTGAATAATTTGTTTAAAAGTGGATCATGACTAAACAGGCTCCATGCAAGTACCTTTTTCCATGAACAGTGCAAAGGACTGTTTTCTGCAAAAGGCCTCAGCAGATGTGCTTCTTTCCACTCAGTCAAGTAACAGAGGCTGGTTTCTCCACTTGGAGCTTTCTGCCTTCCCTTCTCCTACATCGGCTCCCTGCAGGTGCCCGTTCCTGCTTGGCTCTTTTCCTAGGCATAGCAGCTGTCAGATATCTTCTCCCCAAATCCAGTGGTCATCTCTGTAGACCTCTGAGCACAGATAGAAGAATTTGGAAGCTCACTACCTGTGTGTTCACTTGAACTGGTTGCTTCGGACTTGCAACATTATTCTGAGATTTGCAATATTCTGTATCTCCTTCTCTTAATATGTGCGAAACTGACAGTTAAAAAGATACGTTACTTAAATAGCTGGTGCCTTTCACTGTTGAAACACTTAAAAAGAAAATTTGCCAGAAAATGTGTTTTGATATGAGATTGGTAATTATCATATCAGTATTTGCTTAAAGACTGAGTTGGCACAGTATTTAAAATGTCACACGGTTTGAAGAGTAGCAGAATCCCTTAGCCGCTTGTCTTGGGGGCTGTGTACAGCAGGAAACTGAAACATATTCCAGCCATGTTAAAATATTTGGAAACCTACTGCAGTAGCACAAATGGAAATTTGGAAAGGAGGTGTTAGATTGAAAATTATAGGAAATAAGGGTGAGGGCCACTAGAGCAAAATATTGATGCATAAGTAATCTTTACCATTCTTCCTAGAAATGCTGATTTTTATTTTTTGTTTTTGTTTAACATGCTAAATGTCAGTCTGAGTACTACACCAAAATACAGATTCTGAAACAAAAGTTAATAAAACTTCTATTATTTTAAATGGAATTGTTCCCTTTCTCTGCTAAAGCAAGAGCTAAAATACAATACAGGCATAAGACAGAAAAATATTTATTCAAATTGTATCGTCATGCTAATTCATAATTTAAAAACACTTATTAAGAGGAGGAGGTAGATGTATACATCAGGGGGATCACCCATGTAACCGTATGCTCAGCTTCATTTCGGTCTGTGATTGAATTACACCCTGATTTTTTATATATAAAGGTAGCATGTGTAGGTAGTCGTGATTTGAAATTTATATTCTGTAAAGACTATTATGCGGTCATTATGATTACTTGCAGTGAATATGGAATTATTAAAGGACCAAAACCCATGATATTGAGCTTGATTTACACTATTTGTAGTAGAAGTTAAACACAGGAGGGAAAGAATACGAAAATAAAGCTCATAAATCCCACCACATAGAGAAGGGGTAAGTGTTTATTAATTTCATCCCTCAAATCAATTAATTCTTAGTCACCAAGCTCTAATTATTAAAACAGCCTTTTTTGTAAGTCTGAACGGAGAGTAATTGCAGCTGTTTGCTGTGAAGCTAGGAAGCGAAATGTTAATACGAACCGACCAGTTTAAGTAGGGGATGATGATATCCTTGGCTTCCTGCAGCAGAGCTGTCAGGCGCGGGCCGTGCGCCGGTCAATGGTGACATCCCGTGTGTCAGCGAGCAGCCTCCCGTCGCCTTAACCCGCAGCTCACACCGCACTCAAGCTCCAACTGTCGAGCGCTCAGGTCCCTTGGTACTGCTGCAGCTTCCAGCTCTCCTGACTGGCTCATGTTTCATTCTTTGGCAATTTGCCCTAATGATATCCCTTAGGAGCTTTCAGACCCTCTTCTTTTCCATATTTAATCGTGTTATATTAATCTGAGTGCTGAGCAAACTGTGGTGCACAAATTGTAATTGTCCCTGATTTCTGCTGCGGTGTTCTTCTAATGATTTTTTTCTCCTTTTTAGTGTAAAAATATATATACAAAATTACAGCGTAATTTTTATTTACAGGAGTAACTGTCTAAGTCAGCCTGGGTGTGAAAGCTTTAACTGCTGATCTGTTTCACCAACAGGGATGTTTTTTCCTGTAAAATCCATAATATTTTAGCACTTGCTACATAGGCAGGATTTACATTTAATTTTTAGCTCTTCATTTTGTTACTGTAAAAGTACACATCTAATAAAGGGCAGCGATAATCAAGTTAACCTCAGACAGTAATTTTGTTGTGATGTAAAACATTAGGACAGTCTTGTCTTCTTCTATAAGCTTGGAGTCTTCTGTGTAGGGCATTTCCTTTGTGTGTGCTTCCATGCTCAGCCTTCATTAAGCGATGCTGGTAAGTAAAGCAGGAAAGCAGAAGGACAATATAGCATCAATAGCAGAAATTGCTCTCTGGGTGTGACCTGCCAAACCTGTGAGAGACTGTGTTAAATCTTATGGCTGAGTTTCTTATTTTTTGTTTCAAGCGCAGTTCTTACCCTAGTTGATCTCGTGTAAGGCTTTATTTATACATATGAGTATGTATATGAATATGTGTGTATATGTATATAATTTTCATCTTGTTTTTAGTATTGTATGTGGTGGTTATTGGCTGCCTAATTTTGAACATGATTTTGATATTTTCTCATTCTGTGGTTACCTACTAACATAAACAAAACAAACTGATTCCCTAATAATAATGCCGTACATGAGAGATGAAATCCAAGTTCTTAAGGTATTGCAGATTATTTTGTTTGCTCAAGAAGTGAACAAGGCTTAGCTCCTCATCAATTCTATAGTGATGCTTTGTTTAAAAATTAACCAGAAAACAAGCAAAAAACGAACTAAAAGCATACAGAAACCAACAGAAACCAGCTGTGCCTACGTGACCGTTTTGAATGGAAGCAGATTGTAACTTCTCCTTTCTTGGTCAAGGAGTTCTTCATCTTCTGGTGGTTCTGGCTGCCAGACTTGCCAGTTTCTGTTTTAGGAACCAGGGGAGAAAGGCAGAAGTTTTTGAAAGTTGTAACGCAGTTGCATTACCGTCACAAGGAACATTCTCTTTAGATTTATTTTATTTTTGCAAAAGTAGTTTGGAAATAGAGTGACAGATTTAGAATTGAATTCTTCTCGAGTGCAGCACACTTGCGTGGCTTCATGCATAATCAGTTCCCCTTGTTCCAAAGAGGAAGGTGGGTGAGTCCCCATGCTGCCTTTCCAGCCTGGCCCAGCTGGTGCAGCAGGGCTGCACTTGTGCTGTGTGTGTGTGGCTGCACCTGCAACTGTTGATCATGACAAGCATCAACAACTGCATGCTTATCTTTTTCAGATAAGCTGAGAAGAGCTGATTTGGAATTTGACTCATCAGTCTGACTTCTTGCGAATGTTGTGCATATATTAGGTTTTTTCATATATGTATTTAAGCAATTAAAGTAATTAAAAATGCTATCATATGTGGTTTGAGGACGTGAAGTTTCTTGCAGATACAAAAGTTATTTTAAAATGTTGTATTTTCTGTTTATTCTTCATCTTAGTTTTTGTTGCTAATTCTTTGTGTGGGTTTGTTTTTTTTTAGTTAACTGCTTGTGTTCATGCATCAGCTGCATTATTGTATCCCATGTATTGGCAGCACATTTACATCCCAGTGCTTCCTCCGCATCTCCTGGACTACTGCTGGTAAGCTATAACCTGTTATCTTCACTTCTGAGATTCTTACCTGTCTTACAATTCGAAGTAACTCATGAGAACGAGGTCTACTTAAGTGACTAAATGCGCAGGGTCTGATACATGAAAACACTTCAATCAGTGTCTTGAACAGAGATATTTCAGTATGCTTTTACATGGTTTTTGAATTGCTGTCCTGATTACTGTCAACAGAGCATCCGAGAATCATGCTTGTTATAACAGTTCATGTATCATTGGTAGAGTTGTCATGTTCAGTAAGTTAAATGTAACAGTTTTATAGTTTTCATTTATTTAATGTTTACATTAACTTGAGATAGGTGATACTGATAGCAGCATTCAAAAAACACTGACTGATCTTTCTGGAATTAAGCATTAGTGTTTTTAAGCATCAGTGTTTTTCTTAGGTGCAAGGAATAATTCTGTGTCTGTGCTTTAGGCTCATCCAGGATCAGGATCATATTTAGCACTTAGCCAAATTTGCTTTAAATCTCCTTTTTATACTTAAAACACTGGAAAAGGCCACTTTTTGAGTGGCATCTGATCCTTTAAGGGGTGATGTTTCCTTTCGGAAGGTCATTACTCATTATACCAGGCTAATTTGAGGTAATTTTCAATTCCAGGTATTTGGTTTTTAAGATTTCAGGCTAAAAAAGGATTTACTTCTGTTGACAGTAGTACTAGTGTTACCAAATGAGCTTTCCTTAGGGAACTAATATAAGAGTATCTCTCCGTGGAGGCCTTCACTTCAAATAGATGCTATGAATCTGTGGTGGATAAATGAACTGTTTAAAGCCATTTTAGAGATCAAGAATTATTATAGACAAAACTTGAGTCCAAGTCAGATGTGTACCAGCCTAATTCTTGTATTTCTGTTAACGTTTTTTCTTCACAGAAATAAATTATGTTTATGCGCTTATGGGCTTGCAGGGCTTTTTTTTTTTTTTTTCTGAAACCTGTAAATATTGATGTTCGATTGAACTCCACCCACTCCACTGAACTTGTTTTGAAAGAAATTCTCATTACATTTCCTCAAGTCTTTGATATTTTTCCTCTAGTTTTCAATGTTTGTCCATGGTATAACTTTGTCTAGGATGATTCCTATACTTCATCTGTATATTATTATTATTTTTTTTAACAAACACCCCTTCATGCTTTGCTTTCAACAGTAGCTAAGCCTTTCATCTTTAATGGTAGTTTTCTTCTGGAGAAACTCTGTTCCAATTTTTTCCTCCTAGCTTTGATAATATGCACCAAGATGAGGATATAGCTTGGATGTATTTGCTTAGTTTTTGTATTACTTGAACTTACTGCCAGAAGCTTTTTATTTTCTTCAGTATCATCCGTAAATGCTGTTCTCAGAAGGTAGATCAACACCCCTTATTTAAGTTGTACCCTGCCGAGTGCATCCTGAATGCTAGAAGATTTTTTTATTTGCCCTCCTAAGCACAGATGATGTTTTGAGAAATAATAATGTTAGATGCTGTATACAGCTCCCTGTGATGATGATAATACTTGAGACTCTAGGTCATTATGCCATGACCTGAGAATTTTTTTTACTCATTAGAGAGAAGCATGTTGTTTCTTAAACTTGTAAAACTCATTTATATCTTCTTTTCTCTTTTACTACGTGACAATTGAAGTGGAAAAAAAGTTTCCTTTTCTTCTTGTTGTTCGAATGGAAACATGAAGTTCACAGAAGGAAATGCACAATTGATGAATTTACTACAGTGGCTATAATTCAGACTTTTATTAGGTTGTTATGTTTTCATGATTCTCTGATCAAGTTTGGTTTGAATGGTTCTTTTCAGGGATAGATTGGAATAGTGTAATAGAAGCACAAAATACCTTTTTTCTTACTTCTCTGGTGTCTAACAGGAAATAAATGTTTTCCTCTTAGCTGTATACTATGCAAGGTTAGAAAAACTTGATGAATTTATAGAGTCAAAACATACATTAGACCAGACTTAGTGTGTGGTCCGAGATCAATTAAAAGTGAACAAAATAACTTTCTAAATGTTTTTTTTCATATTTTCGTTTTGATATTTTTGACAGAGTAATTTCTCTTATGAAAACCTTTTTTCCTCTTGAACATAATGTATTTCTCTGCTTAAAGACTATGTTGTTTAACTTGCACTTTGAGATGTCTCCCACTAACTCATTTTCTTAGCATTGTTCTGGAATGATAGTAAAATAAACAAAGTAGAGGATTATCACTTTGATAATGTTGGCCATTTGATGGGAGTATGAGCATGTTTAAACAAAGATAAAATACATTTAAATTTACTTCTCTAAGTAAAGGTCCTGATCCTGCAGTGTACTTTGCACGTTAATCATCTAACATGTTTTGTGAGAAATCCACCTTTTTTGTTTTTAATGAGTTGAACTATACACTTTTAAAATTTCCTGAAGATAAATGATGCAGTTTTATAGGGGTTAGAATTTAAGAAATTAAACTGCTTGGCTGATACGTTTTGTGGATGTGAGAAAAGCAAAGTGCATCTTTGAGTTAAATCTGCACTAAAACACTTAAATTCACCCACTTTCCTTTGTAATCAGAAAACCTCTTTGGTTCTATCAAGCAATTTCATGTGAAGACAGGTTTTAAATGTAATGACAGTCCACCAATGTGGAGTGTTACGTAATCCAGGTTGGTTAGAAATAAGTTTCCTACAACGTATTCTTGGGCAGCATGTTTTCTAAATACAGTTCTCTAAGTATTTTTTAAGATTACTTACTGAAGTATACAGAAGAAAAGATATTCTGAGGCATCCAACACAGGAGAGTAATGGAGCTTTGGAGGGAGTCCACAGAAGGGCCACATAGATGCTGGTGCTAGAGCACCTCTCCTATGATGGCAGGGTGAAGGAGCTGGGTTTGTTCAGTCTGGAGATGAGAAGGCTGCAGGAAGACCTCATTATGGCCTTCCGGTGTTTAAAGGGAGATTATAAGCAGGAGGGAAATCAGCTTTTAATAAAGTTAGATATTGATAGGACAAGGAGAAATGGTTGTAAACTGTGGGAGAGGAGATGGCGATGGGATTTCAGGGGGATGTTTATCACTGAGAGGTGCTGAAACAGGCTGCCCAGTGAGGTTTTGGGTACCCCATCATTAGAGGTGTTTAGGGCCAGGTTGGATGGGCCCCTGGGCAGCCTGGTCTAGTACTTGACCCAGTAGCTGGCAACACTGCCTCTGGCAGGGGCACTGGAGCATGATCATCCCTGACATCCTTTCCAACCCAAGCCATTGTATGATATGATTGCATTCATGCAGTGAAGGTCTGGCATTCAGGAGAGCCTTCAGAGGAATTAAGTTTGATCATTCTTATAGTAATTATATTTGAATAAAATCAATTTTTGTAAAGGGTAAAGCACGTTATATTGAATTTCTGTGTAATTTCTGGTCAAACTAAGTTGCTGATATGAGTGTATGACAGTTTAGTCTGTAGATGATAAAGTATCTGTTCTACTGATGCTGTGTGGAGAATATAATGCAATTAGAAAATTCAAGCTAGGACTGTAGCATTTCTTATGTGATTTGATATTTCCTGAGTTGGGGTATGTTCAAGTCTGTTTTCACGACAGTAGGACAATTATTTTCCAATTAACATGCATGTTTTGCGTAACATAGTAGTTATTTTAGGAAATGATGCTGTAGATTAATCACATTTTTTGTAATAACATGCATTAGCAAGTGGAAAAATTGTATAGCAGCTCCCAGTAGTACCACAATAAAGAACTTTATGTACGTTTTACAAAAGTATGGTGTTAGGGCTTCGGAGTCCAGCAATAACAAAACTAATTCTTTGCTGAAAATCAAGTTGACTTCCCCATGTATGCTTTTTTTATTTGATGCATTTTCAAGATATGTTTATCTAATTAGCTTTGTTCTGTTAACTTTGAAATTGGAACGGTGTAGCTGTTGCTTTGTTCTGCACGCTACCCTTTCTAATGACAGGTTTATTAATGGAGCAAATCATCAGCTATTACAAGTCAGTACAGGCCTGGTGAAGCTGCTAGAAAAGTGTGCATGAAATACATAGGTGATATAGCACTTCTTTTCATTGTAGTTTCTCCGGTTTGTGTCACTTGTAACACTGAGGTGCTCTGATGTGATGAACCTGGGGAAGATCTGTTTTGCTCAGCATTCAGCAGAAGAATCTGCACTTACGCGCCAGCCACAGTTGCTCACATTTGTTCACTCAAATATATTGCCTAGTGTCAGACACTCTTGAAATTATAGTGTCTTCAAGCTGTCTAATTCCTCACTGCATATGAATGTATGTGCATCTGCTCTGCGAGCACGTTCTTGGAGAGAAACCCATTTGTGTTTTCATGTAATTTGTGTTTAGTCTGGAAGGCATAAGGCCCTAGCCTGGCTGAAGCGGTCTCAGATTTTCAGTATCGGGCTAAGAATAAGACATTGCAAAGATGTGGGAGTCTTCATTTCCCTTTTTGGAAGTCTGCACACTACTGCCTGAGAGCCTTAAGCAATGAGATTTTGTGGTCTGTCCAAACCTCTGATTTTTGATAGTGTAGATATCTTGAAAACTCGTTTTGATCTGTCAGTTACTTTTTAGATCGTTTTGTTTTCATTTGTTTCAGTCAATATTCTCTTGTGGGACATTCCTAATGAGTACAGTTGGATTATCCATAGTGTGCCCAGTTTTTTCTACAATATCAGTGGCTGTAGCCAGCTGCATTTGCTCCTCTTGCAGAGCTGGACCTGCGCTGCTGAGGCCATGGGTAGTGGCCCAGGGGAGCCCCTCTTGGGCTTCAGGAAGTGGGTCCCTGAGTGGTCAGTGCCTTGTTAAGCTCAGCTAGGTGATCGGACTGATACACTGTTCATATCTGTGGTCTTGCTTTCAGATTATTTTTCAGTCTTGATTTTTCTCTCTGCTCTCTTAGTATTTCATTTCTTACAGACTTCCTTGAACTGATCTATCTATTACTCCCTTCTCTGGAGAGAATATTTTTAGTAATTTCAGAGCATAAAAAAGCACAATGATGATTATTTTTTTCTTTTAACACTAGATAGTGAATATATTTTTTATCAGATTAATAGACAAAAGAGAACATTATAGAAAACAGTGAAAATTGATCTGATTAGTTTACTTTCTTGCTTGCATACTGCAGGAGGTCTCATTGCAGAGGCTCTGTGAAGAATGATTCCTTGTCTCATGCAAATTGGAAATAATAAGCTTGCTGTCTTGGGTCATATAAGATATTACATGAGATATTATATGAGCACTGCAGAAGCTCACTGACACCACATTCTCCAGAATTTTAAAATTATTGTACTTCAGGCAGTAGACAATTTTCTCCAATGGGATAGGATTGCTTTCACTATAGTAACCATATAGTAGTCACTGAAGTTAGATATGCAGGAGGATGAAGCCTTACACACCATTTCATTCATAATTCCTCAGTTAGAACCAGTGTCATTTATTTTGTGGTCACCTTTACTACACTGTAATAATGATAATAATTTCTATCAGCTAGTAAAAATTTCAAGAGCACCTGTATACGTTTAATACAAGCTTACACAGTGAATATTTCCTGGAGACCAAATAAGCTAACTTTTTAAATGTTTAAAGCTACAAATGCTGCTGTGGCTAAAAGATAATTTGATTTTCTCTTTTTTCTTTAGTGCACCCATGCCTTATTTAATTGGCGTCCACTTAAGCTTAATAGAGGTAAGTTAACTATACACTTCTGAGTAGTGATAAGCATGAGATGTGTGTACCATAAATAATAATGTCAGTGAAAATGTTTCAGAAAAAAATCTCCTCTTATTAGGTCAGAATAACATATGTTAAGCTTCAACGTTTTAAAAAGTGAAGTTGTCCCTATTTGAAAGGATACTTTTCAAACACTAAATTGAAAAATACAAGCTCTACATCATGATTTGTTTCTGTGCATGTTAGCTATCTCAGTGACACTATTTTTTATGTTTTTGTTAGAGGTTCAGCAACATTTCAGATCTTTCCAGTAATAGTAATTAAATTTATTTCTGGGTTATTGCCAAGTGAAAGTCAGCATCCTTCTGATTCCTCAGCTGACTTGCGTTCTTCTTCCACTGTAAATCAGAATCCAGCATTCATCCAATAACATTTGACTTTTATTTTAGAAAACAGAAAATTTTGTCTAAAACCAAAAGCTTTTTCATACTTAAACATACAATAAAACAATGGATCTCACCCAAGTGATAAATAGAAAAATAAATTGTTTTGTCTCTATTAATTACTGTTTAATGACACATGTCAGTCTGTCTACATGTGTAGTATGATTATCATGCAGTGTAGGTAATTGATCCAGGAACTGTTTTATTCTTCTACTAGCACAATTTCTGATGAAGAATTCACATTTGCGAAACCAACAAGGTTCTCCTCCTATCTGAATCTCTGGCAAGTTTGTTCCCTAACTGTAGGCAGATATTCTTTTCTCATTGACCAAGCAGCTATAATCTATGTGCATTGATAGTAATATATTGACTAGGATCTTTATTTAGTCAGAAAACAACAAAACAAATACACTCTGTAAATGAAATTACCGAAATCCTGATATTATTTTCTGACCCATAATATTGCATATTATTGTAGGACCATACATAAAGAGTTTTATCTGCTTTTTTAAAAAAATGTTCTCTCAAAGGAATAAATTGTTTAATTCTTACTTGCTAGTCAAATCCATTGACAAAAGAGTATCTTTTGAAATGATAGTAGACGTCACATGGTCACATGAATGGGACTTACATAAATCTGAAAATAATTACTGTGCTCTATTTTCTTCTGGTTATATGATTATTATCCTATCTAATTTTCACAAATATGAAAGAATGAAATGTTTTTAAAAGATATGTATGTGTGGGTGTGTGTATATATATGTATAATATTGTACTTAACTGTTTTAAATAATTCTCTGTTTTCAGGAATTAATTTATTGAATACTCTTGTATTTCAGAGGTTATTAATATAACCATAGTGTTTGATGAGAAAAGTATTCTAATAATCTTTGACTCCTATGTCTAATTTACAGATCCTACATGTGAAAGCTCAACCTTGTCTTTGCTAGTATTATTCTTCAAAAGATCATAATTTCTATTCCAGATATTACAGTAAAAAGGCACTTCGAGGAGGATGCTGTAGTAAATTATTTTTTTTTTGTATTTTTTTCTCTTTGCAGAGAGTGAAAAATAGATCACTGGAAGATGTGGTTTTGCTAAACGTTGACACAAACAATCTAGAAAATCCTTTTAATGACCTGAGCAACTTACCCGGTGAAGTGGTGAGTCTTATAGATGTTTCTTGGAGTTTCTCTTTTGTATGGATGCTTTCTTTGCCTGATTTTGCTAACTGCTGTAAAAGAAATAGGGGGGGTAAAAAGCAGCAAATGTAATCCTCTGTTTGATATTTTACATTTCTGACAGTTGAGGAGATGTTGAATGGTACATCATATTCCTTATTGTAAAAGTAGGATCATAATTATAAAGCTAGCTGCATTCATTAGGCATAGCTGCTCTAAACGCAAGAGTCTCTTCATCTCATCTTAATCATTATATTACAAAGTAGGCATTTCTGTCTGCCTAGTGGCATGTCTTGCAAAAGAACGAGAGAGTTTTTGAAGGCAAAAAGAAGAAGGGGGCCAATTATCGGCTTCTTCTTCCCTGCCACCTGCCAGCGTTTTCCTTTTAATTAATGATCTGATGGCACTGGTCAATATAATAAGAAATGCTTGTACAGTTGGGGTCAGAAAATTCAGGCTTTGATCTTCTTCAACTTTGTGAAACATTTATTTGTTTTCTCTAAATTATTTCAGTTTTATTTTAATCTCTTCTATCCTGCTGAGGGCTGCACGAATGAAAACCTATACTGTTTGTCATTTGATTTGGCAGAGCAAAGACTGCTTACTTAGAATTCTATTTGTAAATTAAACTGCAAACCCAGTTTGTCATAAAAGACATCTGATCCTTTTGAAATGACGAAAACTGTCTTTTGTCTGTAAAGGATGATAAATTAAGTGCCAGTTCTTTCTGGACTTTGATCTTGCAGAGGGTCTCCCCCTCCTTTTTTTCCTATTGCCTATAGGGGAACATGTTCTGTATATCATTTTATATAGTCACAAAATTCACCTACCTTCAACAGAGCTCTGAAAAAAAATTATTTTAAAATCACTGTTTTGATTATTTACTTATAGATGCACAAACTGTTGTCAGCACAAAGAATTTTTTATCAAAATTTGAAATCAAAGAGCTACATTTTCTGAAATTGTAAAATCATAAAAACAAACTGTCATAATCGAAGAAAGGCACTGATGTAACATACTATTTTTGTCACTACATACTTTGTTTTTGCTGATAATTTGTATGTATTTGAAACAACAGAAATCCAACTCTTGATGATTTTATTGATGTAAGTTCCCTTTCATTATAATAGCATTTAAATGTAGACTTTGTGTAGCTCTTCTGGTCAGTATTCCTCTTGATTCAGTATCAACTACAGTTCAGTAATGTATAAGAAACTGATTATATAAAATATTCTGGAATTATGCAATTTTATGTTGATGTGTGAAAAAGTGTATACACATAGATGCACAGGAGTTTTGAATGTGTTGTATTTTATAAGAGCATATGTATTTTATGAGGGTAAACTTGCATTGTGTTGGTGATTTTACTTGACCTTGTATTCAGTGTAAAAGGTTGAGGTTATAATGTTATGGAGGTACGTGCCTCTTGTCAAATAATAGCTGGAGATGGAATTGAGAATTAGGCATCATCGTTGGTCACATACTAGAGTAGCTGGAGGTCCTCTGGACAAGTGGAAATGAATCTTCACTGAATGCAAGCTCTCATTTTACAGATGCATACCAAAGTGTTCTCTAAATGAATATGCTAGCATGAAAAAAGTAGAAGTTACAGTTCTTCGTACTTTTAGGAGTATTTTCTTCCTCAGGATACATATATAAAGAACTACTGTTAGTGAATTTTGTCTAATGTGCAGACTATACAGTAGACTTCACTGAAGAAAAGTGGGGAGAAAACAACAACAAAACAACAGTATTGTGTTTTATGCAAAATATACTCACAGAAGTTATTTTAGGATTTTATAATGAAGCTTCTGAATAATTTAATCTCCTTCTGTATTTCAATATATAAAACAATTTAATTAAAAATTAATGGAAAGCAAAAATTATAGCTAGAAAATCTGCAAACAAAAGACAGAGCTCAGGCTTTGGCACAAAAAATGGCAGAATGCTTATCCCTCTGTATTCATCAGGGACAATGCAACTGCTAACATCTGGGTTAAAATTGTAAGAGGTAGGAGTGTAGAGCCAAAATGACATGTTAGACTTGAAACATTAGAGCAAATGTCAGATGCTTACGTACATGAAATATTTTGGCCTATATAAATAAGACTCATAAGCTTATGTACAAAGGTGGTAAAACTTCTGATGAAAAAATATGATAAGCAGGAGTACCACTGAAGGGTGTTAAAATGGGATGAAGAACTGGAAATGTAAAAGAAACTCTAGTCTACCTATGCCTTTGAAAAATTGATTCCAGATAGATTAACAGTCTAACAAAAGAAACATAATATTCTCAAAGATTTTTATAAAACTATTTATTGTCTCTGATGAAAACTGGATAATTATTTTCTTGATCACTTTGCCTGGTAGCGTCCTTGTGCCATAGGTATTTAATAGTTTACCTTAGTAAAGTGTCTATGAAATGCTCCCGTTCTGAATTTTTAAAGAATAAATTTAAGATAGAAAAATATTGCTATATGACATTGTCTAATAAGCTGCATAATAAATTAACTGAGATTTAAAGGCATTTTTAAATCATTCTTTTAAGTATTTAAATTATAGTTACAGGCTGGATGACTTTCTATGCATGTGAACTCTATTATTCTGTCAGACTGACCAGTGGTCTTGACTATGCAGAGGTCAGTGGTCACAGTTGTCCTGAATTACCAGTCCTTTTTTCATGTGGACCCTCTGCTGTGTTGCATGCTGTAATCTTCTTAATGGCTTCATTCCAATATTCACACATAATATTTTAGATTTATTGACTGTTAGAAATACTACCATGCCAGTAGCAGTTCCGCTACTCCTAAGGTATTTAAAATTGGAAAAATAAATCAGTGCAAGACTTTCAGGAATCCTTTGTTTTCTTAGAAGGGGGAAAGACCCTCTTTTTCCTCTCTTCTGACAAGAACACTTGATTTTAAATTTTATCATTTCACTGTGAATTTATCTATTGTTTTTTAACCAAAAATAGATGAAAGTAAGTAGCTACTTCATTGAGAGTAAATTTCCTAATGCAATAATACTTTGATCACCACTTAACAGTGTAAGAGGGTAGCAAAAGAACGTTTGTATAAAAATTGATATAGACTATGGATGCGTAGCTGTTTGTAAACCTTGGGCCTGATTATGCAATACCTGCTTGCAGTTGACTGTTGAAAAAGGTGAGTCCTTTGCTCTACTTGAGCTCTTTTGGAAAAACCTCAGAGCGTGGAGGATAGCACGTTTAGCTACTAAGTCTTACTGAAATCGCTGTAGACTTGAAGCATAGCTTTTATAAATATGATCCTCAGAAAACAGTAGGCTTTATTGGTTTATTACATGTTCTGTGTTTGTTAGATATTGTCAACTGTAAAATCTACAGAGCTGTTGAAAGATGCATAGGCTTTATAGCACGTTGGACATACGCACTAAGATACAATACAGAATGCATTTTTTTTCAGTATTGGTTTTGAGGTAAGTCACGGTATTTAAACATTGTAACTTAGGCAATGAACATCGCTGTTTTAAAGGTAGCGTTTGAGAAGTAGGCTGTAATTCACATAGAAAATTTAACAGTTGCTTTGTAAGATAATTACTGAGACTGAAACTAATTGCTGAAAATATGATGCTGGAGAAAAGCATCTTCAGTGCATCAACATGCAATGAAAAAGACTCTTCTAAAATGTATCATGTATTATGCTTTTCCATGAGAAAATAGGTAAAATGTTTCTACTCTCTCATAAAAGCTAAGCAGCATGCAATATTTGAAATAGTATGAAATACATGTTTATGTTGAATCTCAAATGTGGTGCTTGAGATTCTCTTGAACCTAGATCTAATTTTAGAAGCTGGATTATCAGATTGAAAAATGCAATTATTTTGGAAAACATTTGCATTTGAATAGGTGAAGAGTATTTTTATTAAATTCTGAAGGACTGTCTGAGATGCTCTGTGTGTAGATAAGTATGTAGAAACCCTTTCTTTAACAATAGTGGTATAAATAAACTCAAATTCTATTTTCTTTTAGGAATTTTTTTGTTTCTCTTCTCGACCATCTTCTTACTTTCTTGCTACAGAAAGTGCTAGTCACCTGATCTGATGGAACACTGAGAAATGATGTATGGCCTGGCAAATGTCACACACTGAAGAAATACCCCTGTATCTCTTTTTCAGAGTGTGATTGTCATTGGGAAGTACAGTGCATGGCTCTGCATTAGGACACAAATCTTTCAAGTACTTCCATACATGCTTACATTTATATGCATGCTTAAGCTTTTGCAGGAGGAAAGGACTGCAAAATTAATAGTTGCATCAGTTTATGATTCTTTTAAACTTTTTTGTGCTGTTCTATTATTTCACTCACATGAATATTGAAGAGAGATTAGTCATGACTTGTTTCTGATCAGGTAACTGTGTTTGGAAACTTAAAGGATATATGGTGACTAGTTTGAAAAAAAAAAAAAAAGGCTTCTTTTCAGCGAGCGATACAATATGTTTTGGCATTTTTTAGTTACTTCATACATATGAGAGCAAAACCACATACCAACCTTATGACTTCCTAAAACTCTGAAAAACTATTCTATTGATTTAAACCTTCTGAAAGCTCTGATTGCTCTTCACTGGTAGTGTTTAACAGCCCAATGAAGTCACTTTCCTATGAGAAGCAGTTGCTAGGAGAAGATAAAAACAGTTTGCTTCTAGTGTGAATTAATAATGCCATTTCTGAGACAGATCATTAAGTGACTCCCAGAAAAAAATAAAAAATAAAAAAAAATAAAAAATAAAAAAATTATCATTCTAACTCTGTGATTTGTTTCTAGGTCTTTATTTTTAAACTTTTTAAAAGGCTTTTTCTGTTCGTCATGGAAAGAAAGGGAGAAAAAAAGTCTGGCATTTGTAATTATAGGTAAAAGAATAAAAACATATATAAGAAAAAAAAAAATGGTAAAGCTGCCACTAGGGCGTATTTTGGCTTTGTACCACTGCTGTGTATTTCCTTTGAAATTTTAGGAGTGATTTATTCTGGCATTATTGCATCACCCAAAGGAGTTTTAGGTTATAAGTGATCATAGACCTGCTGTGCACCAAACCCTTACAAGGAGTTCAAAGCACCCATTCTCATGTCTGTACCTGTGGTACCGAGTGCAGTAACTGCTCTGTCACTGTCTGTCTGGTTAAACTGTGGAACTGGGAGGATTTGCAGGTAACTACCCCAAGGGGCAGCCTGACTTTGCTGTCTCTTGGTTTGATAGCACATGGGTGTTTGATGACTTCAGCTTGCAGGAAACCTGGGCAAGCAGGCAGTGATGGTGCTTAGGAGTGCTTCAGCAAAGGACTCCAGCTGCGCTGCTTGAGAAATCAGGCTTGGAGAAATTTTTAAAACTCCAGTATAATCATTCTGAGGCCAGAACTCCCTCCAGGATGGCAGCTCAGTATTGCGCTCCTGACAGTGCAGTGTTCTTGCACATTTTTGTGCTGGAGCCCTCTGCCTTCAAGCCCAGTCCATTGGAATGTTCTTAGTGCTATTGGACTAATAATGTACTAATAATGCAGTGAAGTGGGAGATTTTTTGCTTTCTGGTGTTCTTGTAAATATGTGTTCACCTAAAGCATCCTGATAGTGTTTTATTTTAGGGCATATGGGTCCTGCCAGAAATGAAAAAATAAGACAGGCCCATTTTCCCTCACATTGTTATATAATTTCCCTCTTCTACATCTTCTTTTCTTCCTTTCTTTTCTTCCTTCCTCTTATCACCTGCTGAAATTTTCCCAATTCATCACTTTTGGTGTTCAGCATAGGACCTTTTTTCTTTCAGTTGAAATACACCCATTCCTTCTTCTTGATTTTTGTTAATTGCGTTCATTGTGCCCCTGCCTCCAAGAATGACACGAGGAGTGTTCAACTGTTTATCCATCTGGAGGGAAAGGCACTAAATGCTGATGAACATAGAAACAAGTGATCTCACACAAGTTGGAATGATGTCTGTTTTCTAACTGACTACTTTATTTTTGCTGTTTCCATTAATATTGATCCTTTAGAAGATTCTTTACTGACACAGGTAATGTACTGCTGGTTGGTGACACTACATGCATGTGTTCGCATCAGTGTATGCAAGTTATAATTTAGCATAGCGTAGACTTCCAAGAAAGTAGAGGGAAAAGGAAATTTTCACAAATTTAAGCATGCTTTGTGCTCTAAGGCTGAGAATTCTTTTCTCTGCTTTTGGTGAAACTGAGCTACCACTGATGGGTAGATTTCCCTTCAAAAAAGTATATTTCCCATTTATTTGCGCCAGAATTAAATAAATCTAATTTTTAACAATTTTAATGTAACAATATAGCCTGAAAAAAAGAAAATACATGCATTTGTTTTTCCGACCCTTGACCTTCCTAATTGATTTTGTACTAAGAACTGTACTCTTTTTTTTTTTTTTTTTTTTTTTTTTAAATTTCTTTTGAGGTGTAAGGGAAAAACATAAATGAGTCTTGGTGTATGCTTTCCATGGCCTAAATGAAGCGGGCTCTAAACTTTTATCTAGATCTGTGGAGCTTGGATATAAATTGAAAAGATCACAGCTATAGGGAAAAGACCTATACTGTAAAGGCCTTTCTGCATAGATTATGAACATCATAACTCAGTAATTCTTTTTTCAAAACTATAGTTATAATTGGACCCAATGGGGGTCTCTCTCTTTGATCAGATCACAGTAACTGTGACTTTACACTGGAAAATGTCACTACTGTGAAGGTTTATCACCTGTAGAGCCGGTCTTTTCTCTGATGCCATGTTCAGTTCTCATTAGCATTATTCAAAGTTTAGTTGTTAATTAGGTTGACACTTCAATTATAATCATCATCTACAAGAACAGTCGTGACTGCTTGCATAAAGAAACAAAAAGATATTCATTCTTGCATACATTTCTCAAAGAATGAAAGATGTTTTGCTGATGGTATGTGCTCATAATGTTCTGGTTAAAGAGTAAGTATATGTGTTACTTTGTGTAGCATTTAATGACATAAATATTGCTGCTACAGTTGTGTCAAAATACAAAGAGAGGCAGGAACTTGTATTCACAGCATAATTGAAGTTGGCTTATTTCTTCAGATATCCCTCATGGTTGTAATTAGGAAAATAAAACTATAATTGGGTGTTATTCCACATACCTTTAAAGAGTACTGCAACAATTCCAGATTGATAGAATATTTTTTTCTGTAATTTTTCCAAGTAATGACCATCTATACTAAGAAAAGATAGATCTTCTTAAGAAAAAGAAAAAAAAAAAAAAAAAGTCAAGCACAAAAATAAATATGATTTTTTTCTTTTTCTTCCTTTTTTTTAAAGCTACAAGTGCACTGTCAGAGTTATCTTTTTTTTTTCCCCCCTTTCACGCATTTTATTTTCAAGAACAATTCAAAAGGCAATATACCACTGAATTTCTGCAAACCTTTCCCATTGTTAGATGCTGGTAGCATCTACTCCTACGGTGCATGAGAAATGATGTAAGGTAGTAATTTGATATTTTAAAATAAAACAACTCAATAACTGAATTGCAAGTGAGCATTGGGAGTCCTTAAAAACAAACCTTTGAAATATAAATTAAGGAAAACCTCACAGTCTTTATTCAAAATGAGAAGACAAGATTTATGATTGAAAAAGATCTGCAGAAAAGTGGCTCACATGCAGTTTACTGTAAAATAATTAAGCTTATTTATGTCAAGAGGCCTTGGGAAAAAAGAGAGCATAACCAATTTGCATTAGCACTCTACCATCATCCCCTGCCTTCATTTCAATTAACAGACCAGCAGGTGCTCTTTGCAGTTAAAAAGATAAGCTATCAAGAAAGAGGATGAATTTTTGGCTGACCTGTAGACACCATGGTTTGCCTGCTGATTGGGTTCATACCTCACTGTACCAATTTCTGAGGTGTTAATTTAACTGCTCTACTCTGTCATGCAGGTCTCGGCCTTGAAAAATAAACTGAAAAAGCAGTCTACAGCTACGGGTGACGGAGTAGCCAAGGCATTTCTTCGGGCACAGGCATCACTGTTTGGATCCTACAGAGATGCACTGAGATACAAACCAGTAAGACAACTTTTTTTATTCCATTGATTTAGAAGAGCACAAGCAAGCTCATTCTTTTGCAAAGGAAATGGTGAAATATTATCCCAATCTGGAACATTGCAAACCAACTGTTTTAAGCCTTACTCTGAGCTCAAAATAAGTTGGCAATTCAGAGGACAATACTATTTCCTGATGGTGAATTGAACTGAAAAATGAATGCTTGTTCAGAGTCAACTTTATTCATGTAACTTCTGTAACTTATTTAGTATGAAATTTGATTATACTAATGAAAGTGTTTACAGCTCACCTTTTTAATGTACTGAAGAACTGAAAAGACTGTGCCTTTCAGAGACTCAGTCATTTTTCACTCTACAAGTCCAGATACTTTGCTGTGTTTGAGTCCAGAAGTTCTTTATTGTCTAGCAGATGCCAGATATGAAGATTCAAACGTGTATCTCTGCATTTATACACTTACCTTGATTCCACTGAGAAGATAGTACAAAGGAAAACTCAGTTCATCCCATGAGTGCTTCAGAAATTGTATTTCTGAAGTTTTGATGGCTAACGTGTTTCAGGCTTTCATCCTTCTGGTATATGTAGGTGGCACATATTGAGCCTTTTTGATGATAAAATTATTTATCAGGAACAACATGTGGATTAATTTCGAATTACTTTCCTGTGATATTTACAAACTCCATCCATCTGATAAAAGTACATCAACAGTGACTGAATCAACGTCTCAGAACATGGCTTTTCTACTGTTGTTTGTTTGTTTTTTATCAAGGCTGGACTAAGTTCAGAATGATTCAGACAAATACTGAGATTTGGCAGGTGAAAAATCATCATTTTTAAGGCATTAAATAGGGTCTGCCTCCTACCCAAGAGGTTCTCTTTCACATAGTCTTTATTGCCATTCCTTGCTGTCTATGCCACTAATAAGTTTTAGGCAACTATTGGGATTAAAAAGTGACCCATGTGAAAGCGTTTAAGGGTTTAGTGTAAGTATTTCTGTTTGACAGACATTATAGTTTTCTTTTTATATGAAAACTCAGTTTGTGTATGATACTTAAATTATTCTACCTGTTTTCAGAACTGCTGAAGAACAGCGAGGTGTGAATTACATGAAAATAGATGTTTTCTACAAAACAGACACAGTTTATTCCATATTGGCACTACTTAGCATTGCGCAGGAAGGGGTAATCTAATTTGTCCCTTAGTCCAAAGATTAAGACATTGGTCACTGTCAGCTTATGTTACAAGCAATTGCATCAAAAATTGTCTTAAACTACAGTCAATATATCCAAGCAAAATGATGTCAGTGTGGCTGATGTTTTTAACCTTACTTCTGATCATAAAGAGGATGGACTCAGTCCTTTATGGTGAGTTTGTTGAATGGAACGTGAGTTCTTCAGCATTCTGATTAGCATCTCCATTGAATTCTGCTTTCCATTTTGTTTTAATTTGCCTCTTGCTGTACCTGAGATGTCTGTATTTGCGTTGTATTGGAAGTAGTGCATCATACATCACTTCTCTTGGCACGCATGTCTAAATGACCTTTACTATCTTTGTTTCTGCATCTTTTTTTTTTTGAGTATTAATTAATTATTTTTTTTTAGCTCAACAATTCCATATAAGAGAAGATATTTATGAAATTCTTGTGGCCTGTTTATTTTTTTTAATATTTGTATGCAAGTGTCAGCATATCTTAGATTGGCATCAACTTGTCCAAAGACCATGTGTATATATATTAAAAAAATTTAAAAAAATAAAATAAAATTGGGCTATGTTCACACTGTATTAACTAATATAGTTTTTTACGGAATGTTTGCGATAGGAAAACTTACTAAGAGCTGAACTTGCTCCAGACTAGTAGAGACTAAAAGGAGCTGTTCTGTGATAGTTCAGCTCATTTTACATGAGCCTTTTGAACTAAGTTTAGTGCCTTGTAAATTAGAAGGTTCAAGAAATCCAGTCTCATTTGACTGTATTGGGAGCATTTGTCATGAGACTCAGGACATGTGAATTGTTATTGCAAAGAAAATATTTGTCTTGGAGTCTCTGTCATGCTAGATCTAATGAAGAAAATCTAACTCAGAGAGTTTATTTATACTCTTTTAGGACACAAGTAATATTCTCACCAAAACTTTGTGAGAGATATACTCAAAATATTTTCTAGATAATTTTGAAATACTTTTGCTGTAAATAAGCTTGTTGTATTTTCAGAATAAAGAAATGGGAGGCTTTAGGATACCATTTTTTAGGATCATAAGCATCCTAATGAAAAATAAAATAATGTTTGGATGGTTATCACTTGCCTATAAGTTTAAAAGTATGTTCAAGTGAACTACTTTATTTGCAGCAGGGTGCTCTGTATGATTTTAACTTGAAACATGGAACAACTGTCATTAATATTCACTTTGAGTAAAGAACAGCTTTGATAGTGTCTGTACTCATCCAACACTTCTCTTCATTCCAAGCGCTGTTCATCACACTGAACACTCATTCTGTGCAACTGTTTGTTTTCAGCATAGGACAGATTCTACTTGGTGTAGCAATATGTCTTGAACAAACGTCTAGCAATTATTGAAAATAATGTGATTGGTGAAAGGGAAAACGGGAAGCTTCAGGGGTCTTGAAAGGAGTTCATGGGACTCCAAAAGACCATATGGAAAATTTGACTACTTGAATACTGGCAGGAAACATGACGTGCAATAGATATAGGTGATAATAATTATTTTTGTGTCTGTAATAAATGATAAGAAAAATATCAATCCAGTAAAGTTTTCAAGTAAAGCAGAAATATGTTTTGTGTGATTTAATTGTGACACTGAATTAAAAAAAGATAAATCAGTCAAATCTAACTGCCAAAATTATTTTTTATAATATGTTGTGATTTACTTTAGCAACTATTGCATAATAGGAGTGGATCTGTAGAGCAAGTCAGTACAGCTGGTGATAAGGACCTGGCATCCACAGAGTGTGCATGTCTAGCTTTATGTGATTCTTTATTATTATTCATATTATTTATTTTAGTGTTGACTACTAAATGTCTACAATAGCTGAAGACCATTTTCTGATTTACCTTAATTCTGAGGGAATCCACTTCATGTGTGGTTGTTGAGGATTGTCTGAAAGTATTGCTTTTATTACCGGTTTTAATATCCCATCACGATTCCTAGATTTTGATAAGGAAGAGAAAAAGAAAATAAAACGGATTTTTATCTTTATTGGCTTCCTTATTTGAGAAATTTCTATGTATTCAAAAGAAAATCTCCTCAGTGAAATATCAGTGTCTTGTTGCGCTAGCCCAGCTAGAGGTTGCAGTAGTAGCCATTGTGTGATCTCTTATGTCAGTAACCATGAACAATTTTGGTTCCAAGAGTCTGCCCCCACTGTGACATTTCAAAGATCAGAGTATTGTGAGGTGTCCTTAAACCATGTAGATGCATGTACATATAGAAATTATTTTTATTTTGTATTTTTATTTTTATTGCTCTTATTTTCTTTAGGTAGTCCAACATTTGGGAATTTATTACAAAATAATATTTTGTGTTTCAGAGCATGCGAAGGTGGAAGTTAAATACAAAGATTACAATTATACTGTTTGTTTCACTTTATCAATCAGTGCATGTGCAATATTGTATTCCTTTCCAGCTATTTTACTTCACATATTCTTCCTAGGTATTTTTCAGACAGCCTTGCAGGTGTAAACCACACCAATCAAACATTTTAGCAATTTTAGCAATGCTATGGTGGCCAGGGAAAATGAACTTTACACATGAACTTATGCAAACTTTGTAGATAATAAGCAAAGACTAGATTTTTTTTTTCTCCATTAAATATATGCAATATAGTCAAAGATAACAAAACAGTGAGTGGTGTAAAAAAAAAAAAAAAAAAAAAAAAAAATCTTTAAAAGGCAGTATTTCACTGACTGTATCTAGAAAGAAAAAGGTAGGTGAGATTTTGGGGTTAGAAGAGGAAAAATAATAATGAATAATAAAAGAGAACTTTTATCATTGGGAAAAGGAGAAACCGGCTTTCCGGCTTTGCTTAAACTAGCAAACATCACGAAGAATTATAGGTATGATTTAAACAAGAAAAATGTAGTCCATCATGACAAGACAAATGCATTTCAAATGTATTTCAAAGAAACAAATCTTGGAGACGTGCGTGTTTGAAAACTAGGCGTTATAAACAACAATGTTATTTTCTGCTTTTGAAGAATTGGCTTTTCTTCAAGAATTAGCCAACAAAAGATAGTCGTTCAAGAAAATCATCTCCAGTTTTGGGGAAAAAATCATCAAAGCTATTAATGTTAAACCAAAAGAAATAAACTCAGCATATCTTTGTTTTAAGTTATGATGATTATAACATCATTCATCAGAAATTAGGAAAAGAAGAGCAAAGGCTAATGGCATGATTTGGAATTCTTGCCAGCAGGAGCTCATAGTCTGATTGGCATTCTAAGGGGATGGGATAGCCTCCGTATTGGAGATAACACAGCCTGTCAGACCTTGCTTTATTTGAATGCTTTTTCAAGTGCTTTAGCCTGCACATTTTTAAGTACACTTTAAGTAGTTATATTAACTTCCAAACAGACCCAGGTATTTTATTTACAATGATAGAAATTAGAATAATGCAATTAAGTATTATGATAGGGGAACTAAAGGATATTTTAAGATTCAGAGTGTTCCTGAATGTGTGAGAATGCTTAAGCAATAGTTGCTTATATTCGAATTTCAAAATGAAATCTTCTTTTGAGGACAAAACTACCTTGAGAAATGGGCATTGATTTGTTTGCCTTTTCCCCAAGTTAGGCATAAAAATTACAGTAGAGAAATGGAGAGTAGTAAAATGTCAGAATGTAGCTTGTGTTTAAATACCGAACCATCCTGTGTTAAACCTGTTATGTCTCTTCATTGTCCCTTCTCTAAGAACCTTTTTTTCGTGTTAAAAGCCATACTGTTGTAGTGGTTCTTTATTGAACATAGATGTTAATAGCAGTGTTAGAAAGGCCTAATTGTAATTTCAAGAAATACCAGCTCTTTTGAATCTTTGATGGCAAGAAATGGGCAAATCTTGCAGTAATTTGTTTGTAATTTTAAATGGTACCTTCATGAGTAGAACATATAGTTAAGTCATACTCAGTTATTTTCTGGATGGTTAACTGTCAGGCCAACAACTGAAATTTCATCTTTTTACTTCTTTGATTTTAAATAAAGGAATTTTCATATGACAGTCAGAATGATGTTTAAAAATGGACTTTTTTGATAAACGGTACAACGCTGAGGAATATTTACTTACCTTATATACTCATTTTATATTAAGCAAGAGTTGACATGTATATATATTATAGCAATAATATAAACAGTGTAAGAGTCACCTTGTTCTAAAAAGATATGAACGTTTCCTCAAACAGTTGAAATGCGAGTACATCTTGCTAAACATACCTTCTAATCTACACTAACTTTCCTTTTAAAACCCTTGCACAGTTTTAGATCACTACTTTCCCATTCTGTTGTGGTCAGCATAAGTAGCTTTCTTAAACTGCAAATGTAGCTTGGAGTGAAAAATACCTGCTGTGTGTGGCAAGCTATGAAAGGGGAAGAAAATTCTATAGCAACTGTTGTTAAAAGGACACATATCTTGTTTGGGCATAGGCTGTTTGGTCTGTTTGGTCTGAGTATTAGCTGTCTACTTTTCAGTATGGAGTCCCTACTGGGTTTTGATCGAACTGGTTTTGAAAGTACATTGTAGATCAATACGGAAGGGGCCATTTGATGCTGAAGTAGTTAAATATCAGTGGTGCATTCTTACAAAACTCAGAGTTTCTAACGGTACCCAGCTGTATTTGCAGAAACATGAATGTTACATGCTTCGTGTCCAAAAACTTCTGGAGCTTTTTTGTTTATATTAGATTAATAGCTTCATTTTTAAATAGCAATCCTAAACCTCTCAGGATTAGAGTAACAATCTTGAAGATTTGGCAAATCTTTATTAGGAAAACAATGTATTTATTCAGAGTATGAAACAAATGAAAGAAATAAGTGTTAACAGTTTGATATAACAGTTTGATATTTAATGTGATTTCAATAAAGTTACAGCAGATAATCTAAAACTGAAATCTGAAATTTCTACAGATTTCAAGAGATTTTTTTTCCCTTTGAAGTGATGAACTGGTAGGTGCTTTGTACCTATCAAATCAAGTTTTTAAAGCAATCTTACTATCAGTAGATTGCAATAATTGGATTGCTTTTGGATCTGAACCAAATTAGATCTAAATACATTTTCAACCTTGGCTATTCTTTTTCTGAACCTTATTGATGAGGCAATAAATGCACCAATGCATGAGTGCTTACTAAATATCTGATGTATCCACTGATAAAGAGAAATATTTAGGAGACTAGCACAGCTATACATTAAAAATGTGTGTTGAACTGCCATTTCCTGGTGTTCTGCTACATGGCTCAGGCTGGAGAGTTGCTACCAAGGAGAACTCTCACTGCTCTCTCTTCCTAGGCTGATATGAAGGCAAGAGCAGGATTGTTTTTTACTGGGAGATAACCTCTCCTTTCTGTCTTTCCCACAACTTTGGGGAAAGTAGCAGTAAAGGCTTTGCTTACTCTTAATTTTTCTAAAGAGCATGCCTGGAAAATTAAATCCTTTTCTTTCTTTGGTTCTAAATTTAAGGTTTCATAATCTGTTGTGAGTCATCACCAAGTCAATTCTGCACTCCCACATAGCCTCTGTATTTTCATAAATCATTTGTTGTGTAAAGAAATAAATAAATAAGGATTCTTTTTCTAATTTGCTGCCTTGAAATTTTTTTGGAAGAACAACAGAACTGAGAAGAGAGTCTGCCCTCAGGAACACCATGTCTTGTACCACCATATCTCACTGGAGACTGTTTCATTTGTTTTGAAGCACTTTGAATTTGCTAAGTAGCTTGAGGTCATCTTCCTAAGACAAGAGTCTTCAGGAGCTCAAGAAAAGCTAATGCAAAGTGGGTCAGGAAGGCAGTGCTATTTAAAGTGCCACAAACAGTTCAAGCTCTTTGACAGATTCAGCATGTCCTGCACGTGTACAGTGTTCACCAGTTATCTCTGGGGAAGCAGTAGGTGGAGTAACTGGAATGCTCATCTTGGAGATGTGATGGAGATGCTGTATCGAGATGGTTTTGTGTATCATTTCATGCCAGGTACTCTGTGAAAGGGAAAGGATTGTGTTAAGTAAATTTGCTTAAATATTGCTTCTAACTCTTCCTGGGAGATTTTTTTTCTAAAATCAGTGTTTCCTTAAAGATGTCAGAACATAAAGCTTAAAAGCAAGTTAAGCATGAACTTACATGCCTTTCTGAGTAGGATTGAACCTCTCTACAGCTTCTCAATACTTTCAATTTAAGTGCTGTGGTAAGATATCCAGAATTTGATTTCACCTATGGCAACATGCCCCTGCAAATTGAAAAAGAGGGAAGCTTTTCATAGGATTAGAATAGGATTTTAAAAGGACCTGAGGATGGTTTTACTGCTAGATTTCGTTGAATCATTCTTACATCATTTAAAAAGAAAATGCAAGGTATAAAAAAGCATTTGAAAGTGATTTAGAGCTACTCTGACAAACTCACAAAGGTCATGTGCCGAGAATACCCTGTTGTATTCTAGAATCATGGAAGGTCCCAGGAAGGCAGGAAAATGTATGAAGTACTATGTGTGATTACAATTAACCAGGGTATGGGGTGGAAAGCAGTGGTGGTCATGGGCATGAATACATTTGTCTTCAAAGTGGCTAACAGTTGGAGCCTGACAGAACTTCTATTTTATTGTCAGGAAGATCAATATAAGGAGGTGCCTTTGAACTCTTTTTTCTTTTGAGTGGCTGAGGTGTCTTAGTCCATCGTGGATATTTAGTTTTTTGGGTAGTAAATCATCATAGAGTCAGATTTAGGTACATAACTTTGTTTGACTCCAATTTTTCATCTTACTAATCATTTCTGAACTGATGACTTCTTTGTTCTGTATACTTGGATGGGAGGCCTCTTGGATTTGAGATGAAATCAATTAATGCCTTTATCACCACACAAATTTCTTAGTGTATGTATTACTATTCATTTAAATCTAACAGCTTCAAATATTTATCGCAAAGTATTGAAAAGAGTAACAATTTGAGAGAATGCCTGTCAGTAACTTCCAGTGCTCTGTGCGCTCTATGGATAGCAAATTATAAATCTAATTAAGGGATAACCTAGGAACCACTTCAACTGTTTCTAAAGAATCTTTATTTTAGAATGGGTGCTGTTTACAGTTAATAAGATTTCAACAGATACTTCATTTTCAATGAGTACTTGTTTATTTTTTATTTTTTTGTTTTGTTTTTATTTTATTTTATTTATTTATGGTGGGTTTTTTTTTGGTTTTTTTTTTTGTAGAGTGCTTGGTAAACTATGGACTATGTGCTTTCCTTGTGTTGTGATCATGTTTTATTTTACGAGATGTTAATCTGGTCCATTTAGATTTTTTTCTGAAAGCCAATGCTTGTGACTTTTGTTATAGTGGAAATAATGTCAAAATAAATTTAAATTTATTGCAAAATTTTCCTGTTAAATGAGAGTAATGACTGTTGAACTATTCAAAGCAAAGGACCTGCTATCCCTCAAACTTTGTACCACTTTTTTGAAATATTTAACGGAGAGTAGTTCAGAGGTAATATGAGCCAACTGTAAACCACTTGCCTTTTCCTTGCTATGTGTTTTTTGTAGACTAGCGTTAAAGTTTCATAAATAAAAGGTTCAACTGCAACATGTGTTCTGAGAGCTATTTAAAATGTATGAAGATTTCTTTGCTGTTGTCTGTGTTGTTGTTTTTTTTTATTTTATGCATATTTAGTGAGATCTTAAATCAACATCTTTGTATACTGTAGTTAACATCCAATATTTTCCATTTAAACTCTTTTAGGGAGAACCTATAACTTTCTGTGAGAATAGTTTTGTGAAGCATCGTTCCAGTACTACTAAACAGTTCCTGGAAACTGCTGTTAACCTTCAGCTGTTTAAACAGGTATGAGATGGTAAAAGACCCAAATTGAATTATTTGCTTTGGAAATGCATCCCTATTTAAATATATATCCCTTTCTGTCATCTTATGAAACTCCAGGGTAAAATAGAAGTGTTTGTGTACAGGAAGTCATCCTAGTTTTATTTTATTATTAAGATTTCATTTATAGTTTAAAAACAAACAAACAAAAAAAAAGAGCGGGGAAAAAAAAAAAGGGAAAATAACTCCAGGGTGCAGAACTGGGGCAGCACTTGTTCAGAGCCAGTCAGCAACTCATGTAGGCAACAGAAATTGTGGATCTCCCAGCTTAACAGTGGAACGTCATTTTCAGCTTCTTCAGCTCATGACCAAAGATCTGAACTAAGTGCTCACTTAAATTGGACTTCAGTAGCATTTTATTTAAAAACTGGATTCATACTGTAATTACAGCTTTCATTTCTAGGGTTTCTGAAGTAGGCATACAGAGATTGTTGCCAACCCAAGTCATAGGGGCAGAACAATACTGTAGGAAGTATACTGTAACTGATTAAGGAAAACCTGAGACTCAAAGTAGTTATTTTCCTTCAAATACCTAGAATGATTGAGGCATGAGAATTCATTTTGAAGTAATCTAATGGACCCCTGTGAAGGTAGATTACCATAATAGATAAGAGAAATTCATTATATATAGGATTTCCTGATTTTTCACAGAAATACTTGTTGCTAATCAGTAGTTCATGTCTGTAGTAAAGATTTATGTAGGGATGATAGGTCTTCAGTTGTAGGGAAAAGGTTTAACTTCACTGAAAGTATGGGCTTGTCGGTGTGGCTCTGAAATTACTCATTATGTTTTAATATGCTCAAGTAAAAATAATCAGTTGATTGTTTATAGCTAGTTTTTAATTTTATTCACACTAAAGGAAATAATATATTACAAAGGATTAGGAAATAGTAACAATTTTGATGATGTGTGTGGTTTAATAGTAAACATTTTTTTTCTTTGTTGCGATTGTTACTCCCACTTCAGTTAATCCTCAGCCCAGCTGCATCTTTTATAGCTTTTCCCACTGAAAATGAGCTGTTTTAAAGGTTCTTTTCAACAGAATAAACTGTTTCTATTATGTTCCTGAAAATGACTAATTGTTAAGCAGTAAATAATATTTTAGAAGCAGAAAATGAGTGTGTAAAATATGTTTGGGTGCTTTTTGTGTTGACTGACAAGTAAGCTTAACTCATGTCATTTGTTGCTGTGGGTTCTCTTTATTGTTGTTTTTGTTTGTTTGTTTTTGGGGGGGGGTATTTTTTTTTATTATTATTTTTTTTAAGTCTTCTCTCTCCCCTCCACCTCTATTCTTCTTGGAAGTTCATCAAATTACCAGGAAATCACGTTAGGATCATTTCCAGCTTCCTTTGTTTTTCAAGGAGTTGTACTGTTACTTGCTTCTGCTGTATTTCTGTCTTCAAGCATAAGGAATTAATAGTAACATGTGTCAAATTGTTCGAGTGTCCAGGGAAACTATTAATTCATTCCTAGAATTAGCATGAATACTAATGTTAGAATACTTTGTTAAACAATATAATTGTATGAATAATATACTTTGAGCTGCTATTGTTTGGAAATTCTTTACTCCACTAAAGTTCTTGTTCTTAGTAACTGTTGATTCACTTGGAATTTTTACTGCTTCCTACATTTATTTATATGTATGCGTTTGACTGACATATAGCATCCTCTGTCTTCCCTCTTTAGCAGTATGAAACCTTCACAGTTTCATACAGTCTGTCCTTTACTTTTAGAATTCAAAAACATTTAAGGAGTCTGAAGTTCTCTTTAGTCCTATAAAACCCAAGAGTAGCATCAGAGTTAGCATTTTTCATTAAAAGTGGTAGTCAGGAACAGTGTCTCTGGATCTGTAAGAGAATGCATTACTTGAGCTGATTTTCCAGGGACTATGGCTTTAAAAACGAGAGAAGAATGTGATATAAGGCATGCATGGTTCCAAATGCTATTTTTTTCATTTAGTAATTTAAATGCAACTCATAATTGTAAATGACTCAAAAGTATTGATTGCTAATACAGTTAGTAATGTTATCACTTCCTTTAAATAATTTCAGGGGTTGGTGTTTGCTTTTTTTTGTTTATTTGAATAGATCTATTTTTCAATATTTGCATTTAATACTCAATTGAACTAATCTTCTAAAAACTAAAATTCAGCCAGTGTCTCAGCCTGCTGTTGATAGAGTTTTACCAAATGTTGAGTATGTCCATAAATCTTTTGCTAGTCCATGGTATGGAATGAACTCATAACTTTCCCCAAAGAGATAATGCCTTACAGTTCAAAGTATGGCTGTTTTTTCTTTTTCTTTTTTTTCTCAGCAGTAGCTAAAGATGTTCTTATCTCTCTTCTCACTGTGAAATAATCCAGTGATCCCAAAGAGGAATGACCATGAACCCAACCTGTTTGGAAAAACGCCAACTTGGAGTGAAATGAAAAAACAAGCAGTTGAGACAGAAGAGAAAAAGGACTGCTTATCTTTGTGCTTGTCTCATTATTGCTGCTGGAATTTTACTATTCTTAGAATGTAATTTGTTTCATGAAGATATTGACAAGCATTAGATTGTCATTGACATTGTTTGGATAATCTGTAGTAATATATGACATAACCAAACAATTAATTTTGGTCAGTTCCTATGTACCATTTAGTAACAGTGAATAACTCATATTTCTTGTTAGGAGGCGAACTGTGTGTAATTAGGAAAGTGCTTTCTCCCTTTATCTCTCAGTTTTGAGTTAGCCTTTTCAAAATAAATAAGGAGGGGCTGTTCCTGAAAGGAATTTTGAACCTTTAAAAATATTCTTTGAAGCTTGTTAATTCCTGAAAACAATGTATTCATTTCCTCTGTGAGGTTTAATCATTAGTTATCTTCTTTTGACTCTTTCTGACCTGTCTGAATCATTTCATTCTTTATATATCCATAGAGATAGATTCAAATTCACATACTCATGCAACTGCAACCTGTACATAGGGATGATTATTGCAATATGTACCTGTAGTTGCAACTAAATAGGTGTTACTTGTGTTAGAACTTAAAAATCCCATGGTGTCAATCTGAAATGTGCTCAGTCAGATGGAGAGTCTGCCTTGGCATCATGCCCCACTTCATTTTTGCACTTGAGTGAAACGTCTTTCAAGTTAGTTTGTACACTGCTGATCAAATCCGTGCTGCTATGCCACCATTTCTGAAAACAAGCCACAGTGATTCTCTTCTCTTTCAGTACAGGCAGTTTTCTATGATGTCCCCACACTTACTGTCCTCATAAGATTACTTCCTGTAAAACATATCCATTGGATTTTTAGTGGGGCTTGATTAGACACTGTAGATTATCATTTCTTTGAAGTTCACGTGGTGAAATGTGTCCAGCTGTTTGTTCTGTGTACTTCAACTAGCTTTACTTTGGACCCATTGATGTGCAAAGCTGAAAGGGAGGTTTGTTTATCATTTTCTGTTTACGATAAGGGGTAACCTTAGGACTTCCAACATAAATCAAGGAATTCTTGTCTGTCTTTAATTGATTATGATAATACAGAGTTATCATAAACATATGCTAAAACTTTTTAATGCCATTAGGAAAGCAAGAAGAGCTTGAAAGCAATTGAAAGTAACTCTGAACAAACTGTTATAAGTTCACTGGCTATAAAATTTTACAAATTGTTTTTGTAAATTGTACATGTAATTTACTCAATATAAATAAAAGTAGCAGAAATTCAAAGGAAGTAAGTGATATTGATATTTTTTACAGTATTTTGACATTTCTGCTGTTCTTGGTTGAAAAGTCCATACAAAATTATGTATTATCCGTAGGCCATATGTTATCTTGAAGATAGAAATTCCATCATAACATACATACATACCATTATAGCATTGTAAAGAAATGTAAGGACCAACCAAGTGTGATTTTTTTGTTTTTTTTTGTTTTAGTTTATTGATGGTCGACTATCAAAATTAAATGCAGGAAGGGGATTCTCTGATGTCTTTGAAGAAGAAATCACAACAGGAGGATTTTGTGGAGGTACAGAATTAAAGCGTTTTACTTGGTGCTTTTTCTCTGAGAGCTGTTTAACATGATGCCCTTATACATTTTAGAAGTCATTAATGTTTGTACTGTTTCAACATTTCCATTCATTCCTGAAAGGTTTTAGCCTTCAACGAATGACTGCTGGGACGAATAATAGTATGCATCTAGTTGTGTCAATATAACAAAAGAGGATATTTTGTTTTAATCCAGTAAAACAATACTTAGGTTTTAAGATGTGATCAAATGTGTCACTATGTCAGTTGCATTTTGTCTGCACGTTTATACTACCTGTTAAATTCTGTGCTAACTTCTTAAAAACAATCTTCATCTTTGTGCTGCTGATTGTGTTCTGGATAGTTAGGTTTTAAAAAAACTTACCCAACTTTTTAACATCTAATTATTTCTGCAGTGCAAAAAGCAGTGGTTTTTGTTTAGATAAGTCAATTATCTCTACCAAATGTACTACTGAAGAAAAAGAAATTGAACCTTGATATTGAACAACTGTATATCATCTGAGAAGAAATATAGAAATACTTGCCTTCTTCATTAAAAAAGTATTTTTCGTGGTGATGTTTCCAACAATTGTGTTCACTGACAGTTATTTTAACGCTTTTCACATTCATCAGCTTACAAAGTTAACCAATATAGAAGATCGTGTGCTGAATCAATTTCTGATTATTGCAGGATTATTGCATGGTTCTCTGTTAGACATTTATATACCCTATCTGCTGTATTTCTTTTTGAGGCACTGTATCTGCTTTCAAAATGTTGGATCACAACATGCATGATAGCATGAGCACTATCTTATGAAAGCAAGGTAGAAGCTTCCTTGATAAATGGAGGCTCTACCAAATCCATTGAGTTGCAGATGGTAGCGACAGATGGGCTTTCTTTGCAGGACCATTCTTAGAGGGGCATGTTCCCAGGGCAGAGAGCATGAGATGGTGTATTAGTTCAGAGCCAGCCTCACCTTCTGCAAAATGCCCTCATTACACTCAGAGTACGTGTCCTTTAAAAGGTTTTCACTGCCTTCTCCTTCCCTCTGAGTCTTGTGCTGTATGGTCTAGCACGGTTGGTTTTTTTTTCCATGATTAAAGTGTGATTAAGTTAAACAGAGATTTGCTTCCTTTCTGTCAATGCAGCATAGCTTATGCTACTATGTATACAAATTTTGTATACATATTCAATATTGTATACAAATTTTAGCCATTGAGCATCTGTTAGTAAGATAGGTAATGTCAGTATTTAGTCTATTTGCTCACTGCAGTTAAGTGTCAAGAGTCCTCAATAAAACTCCATTAGAGCAGAGAGAAAGTTTGATTTTTGGCCATGTACTGCAGCTTGTGAACCACGTCACATCTGGGCAGGAGTGTTCGGCCTCAGGAGCCCTTCTCGCTTGGATTGCACTGTGTGGTGACTTTTCAAGTCTCTTGAGCTGTATATTGCCAGGTTGTGGACAAATTGCTTAGGGCATATATTCAGTATATATTCAGTATTTACATAACTGCTGTCTCATTATCATTATGAAGTGCAGGGCTAACAATATGTATGCAATTGAAGGTGACATTTTTGACGCTAATGGCGTAGAACTATGATCTTTTCACGGAGTTGAATCCCATGCATCTTATCAAATGGTCCAAAGTTTTAAACATGCAGACAAAAAAAAACAACCAAACAAAAAAACCACCAGAAAAACAAATCAATCAACCACCACTAACACCAACAAAAAAGGCCCATAGATGACACCCAGTCTTCAGGAAATTCATAGAACTTTAGAGAGCTATAAGCTGTCAGAAGGAGAGTTGAATGCATTTTAGAGAAAGTGTAATTTTAAAATTGCACATTCAAATGGAAAAGGTTTTTTTTTTTTCAGTTTTCATTTTCCCACATATGCACTAAATCAATAGAGAAAATTATACCGGAAATTGGAAAATATTTTTATAAATAATTTGTTTCTGTATGCTGATCAAATTTTATTGCCCTAAATGTGAAAAGACACTCAATAGCCATCTTTTTTTACGCTCATATCTTCTCATTCTCATATTGCATGCTTTTTCACACTACCTTCCCTGGTAGTTCCAGGGAGCCAAACAGAAGAAATAAAAACTTAGTAGTATTTGCTTTTGGTTTCTCTTTGACATTCTTAATGGAGTTTAGATCATAATAATCATCGATTTCTCTCATTTCTAAGCCTGTTTTGCTTTCACTCATGCTATCCTTCCTGAGAGTCTCTCTGTGTCAAAATGGCTTATGTGGATTTTAGCGTCATGGGTGAAAGTTGTACTGCTTGGTACAACTGCACACAGTTCAGTTTCTCCACCTCACTTGGCAAAGGAACTTGGGAATACCTCTTATTCAGTTAGTTCTCAGTCACATTTTAGGAACTGAGTGTGATTTGGTTTTCCATTAGCTCATGCAATAAATCTACCAAGGCTTTACGTTATTAATTTATTGCAAAGCTAAAGTTTTGTGATGTCATTTTAGAAGTCTGTATCATCACAGATATATCAATATGCTCCTTGAGAAACTTCCAGTCTACAAAATTTCATCATGTCAACACGAATGTCTTGGTTGCAGTAACTCACAGTACCAGAGTATTCAAGTGATTCATCTCTAAAACTCACACAGAGTGGGGATAGGTGTTCAGCGGAAGCATGTTTTGGAAATAGTATTCATTTCTTCAACAAGAGCTTGATAGAATTTAACCCTACGCTTGGTGGGATGGTAGCTCTACATAAACCAATAGCTATCACTTGCCTTATAGTTATTCTTTTTTCCCCTGTAGAAAAAAAAGGTAGATACAGTTAGCATGTTGCAGTGATTTTTCCTATGCGTAAGTACATGATGATGACATAATCTTCAGACTTTTCTCGAGTGCTTTTTTCCTTGGGATGGAACCATCTGCATTTCATGTCAGTGTCTTACTTGAAAGGTTACCCAGTGGGATCATTATTCTTGAACACAATTCATTTAGATATTCTTTGCTTCAATTTGGTGTTTTCTTTTCAGAATTTTTAACAGTATGTTATGCTTCTGTAGTTTTAATTTCTCTTTGCACTTCAATTGGAATTGAAAAAAACATTGTGAAAAGGTAGGAATTCACAAAGAAAACAGTAAACATTAAATAAGTTTTTTTTTTCCCCCTTACTATATACATATTCTTATCTTTAAGTTCTTTGTCTCTCTGGAAAGAACAAAATTAATGAATAATCCTCTAAGAGAATTTTTAATGTGGACTTTGAAGGGGGCTGAAACATTTAAGATGTTGAATATATATTTGATTTTGTTTTTTTCTTTTTTTTATATTTTCATTTCAGGAAATTCGAGATCTTACCAGCAATGGATGTATACTGTGAAGGTACAAATATATTGTTGGTTAAGTAATTGATTTTTGGAAATAAATAAATAAATGAAAATATGTATCCTTGACAGCTTGCTTTCTTCAAAACTTTGCCCTCTTCCTTATATGGATATAATAAAAAAGTTTATTTGTTTGGAAAGAAAACATGTAAATATAACATGTTTACTGTGGGAGTGAGACTCAGTACAGTTTGATATGAAGCTTCTCACTTCTGGTAAACAGCATATAGTTAATATGGGTTTGTGCAATTTGACTAACAGAAGATACTTGGTACAACCCTGTTATTCTGCAGGATTAGTCAAATATATTATTTTAGATAAATAAAATTCTTAGGTGATTAAACATGATAGTTATTTCAAGTTGAAGTATTTTGAAGTTACATAATTTAGGGTAGGAAAGCAAGATAAATAGCTGTAACTTCTGAATTGATTTTGATATGGTAGCAGTGAATAAAGAATGACAATACATCATCCTGTTAGAATGCATTGATAAAAGCGTCAGCTCTGATAATGACGTACTGTAACCCTTGTGTGTCTGCAGACAGTAGGCTGTGGAAGGAACACAGCTGTGGCTGTTCTTGCCTCTTTAAGCTGTTAATTCTTTTCAGCACACTCAAATTTTCCTGTTGTCTTAACTTTTAACTTAGGTCATAAATGTTATTAACATACCGTGTTTTGTTCGTTGCAGAAAGGCGGTGCACTGATCAACACAGCAATGACCAAAGCCACTCCGGCTGTGAAAACAGCATACAAAATTGTAAGATATCTATTTCAAATAAATTATATGTAAAAATGCCTTCTCTACCTATCATCTCTGATTCTTCCTGAATACTTAAAAACTTAAATGTTTTATAAATATATTGTAGAGAAACACTTCAGCCTGCCAAATACTTTCAGCTTCATTCATTTTCTCAGTGAGCACTGGCTTTTAGAATTGATTTGGTATCTCCCAGATAGGTTATACATAAAATCAGGCATTTTTGAAGAATCACTGTGCTGTTGTCACATTCATAGTACTTACTTGAATATCACTTAACAAATTGATGCACAGCTATAAAGTCTTTCTTTCATGGTGAGAATGTCATCAAAATATGGGCTCTGGAAATAGAAATCCTTGTTTGCACTGTGGTCTGCTGACGTAGGTCGTGCATTGCAAAGTTAACATGAGTCTAAAACATTTCATAAATGTTACATTTAATTGTAAATATGGACTCACAGTATGTAGTTATATAGCGTGTAGCTTTAACATGTGGTAGCAAGTCGTTTTAATTGAGAATGTTGTTCAGGACAAATGGAGTCCTGTCTTACACAGATGTGATTTCTATTTGGCAGTATGTGCTGCCCTATTGTAAAGGCATGGTGAAGCATCAGTAATGCTTTTGTCTTTTGTTTCATCTGCTGTTCTAAAAATTGTCAGAATACTCACACTTAGCTGGATTTATTGCTTTGAACTTAAAAATATCTTGTTTTAAAATCCTGTCTAAACAACAAAGCATATAAATTGTTAAGGTATAGCGAGCATGAAAAAATCCCATAAAACGAAGCAAAGCAGTAGTTTAAAATGAAATGGGAACTATTTAGGGGTTAGATTTTAAATACACGAGAAAAGACTTTTGGCTTCTTTTTTGCTTTTCCAAATGTTCCATTAGTCGAATGCATAATAAGTAGTGCTGAATAAATCAGATGATCAGTCTACACCAGTGTACTTTAAGTAAAGTTTTCAAAGAGAATTTTTAATTTACATTGGTTGAAAAAATAGCAGTCATGAAGTGAGAAACAGGTAAATAAATCTACATCATATCTTGAACTCATTCATAATTTAAGAAATGGTTCATTAACAGGTTATCTGGAAATTATTTTGTGGTTTTCATTAGCTTAGATTGTGATTACACAATCTTATCCCAGCATTCAATTTTGTTAAGATTTTTTTATCCTTGATAAGATTTTTTCAAATCGATCTTCTGTTCATTCCAGGGAGCTGGCAAATTTTTTGAGGATCTGTGTGCCTGCAGTATTGTCGTGTATTTTCTCACACACTTCCACTTTGTGGAGCCTACCACCAGAGAAATGGCATATGCATGTCCTATTTGCTAGATAACTGTCCTTGAGTAAATAATGTGATTTGTGCCACCCCTCAGAGTTAGAACAAAGTTGCTCCTAAATGCATCCAAAAGCTGTGAATGTGAGCTGGAAAGTTTAAAGTGGCTCTCAGGTTAGCATCTGCTACATGGCATCCCACTGTGCTCTTACTGAGCTTGTAGATGTATGATTTAAAGATGAAAACAACTCTCTGACCTCTTGAATCAAGAAGATGATTTTTTTTCATCCAAATTTCCATGTACTGAAAAACATAGAAAAATAGTTGATTTCTGCATATTTTGGCCACTAACTATATTTTATAGTGTTCTATTTTCAAGACAACCTTGAAAACTTTTCTGGCTTTTTTCCTATACGAGCTATATCCACGTAAGAACACACTTTCTATTAGGCTTAGATTTCTTTGTTGTTTTGTTCCCCTCCCCTATCTTTCTCTCCTTTTTTTTCCCCCCTCTGTCTTTCTCCCTCCCTCTTTCTCTTTTTTTTTTTTTTTTTTTTCCCCCATAAGAACACGGTATTCTGTATTGATAATTCATTTCTCTATTGAAGAACATTCTTGATTCTGTTTTCTATGCAACAGTGATCCTTAGCTGCCTATTTTAATACATACACAATTCTGCCCTAAATAGCAGCACTATTCTGTTCAGCAACACTGGGCAAAATCTCCATCTGCATATGAAATCACTTCATTTCTCTTAAGATTGATGTTGCCCTGCAAGTTGCCAGACTGGAACACTGTAGCAGTCATCTTGAAACATCTTAACATTTTTCCAATGTGCCTTACTGCTAAAAAAGCCTTTGAAATTTAAAGGACCGTTTCAAATAAAGGCGTGAGTAAAGGCCATTTTCAGCCTGTCTTTCGTAATACCGGAGAATTTTTGAGCATGTATGTTTTCACTGCATTGGCATGCATGTACTGAAAGAGCCCTGTATACACCGACAAAGCATGAATATATCAGATATCCTGACAAGGCACGCACAACATTTGTGAAACAGGTAATTGTCCTTTATAGCATCATGTGTAAAAAGGGAAATAGGCACAATAAGTGCGGCATCATAAAGTGTGTTGCATGGCTACAGAGTTACATGCGGCCTTTTAATTTTCTAGGCAAAAAATCACGCAAGGCAAGGAATAAAAGAAGTGAGGAGTAAGTTGAAACATAAGGTACGTAATACACTTTTGCACTCTTACCTTGCTTCCTGTATGCTTGAAGCACATACTTAACAAATCACACGAGATTTGTGTTTTTAATGACTTTTGAAATATGCTTAGCCCTTTGTTCAACAATACATTTTTCATAACGAGCCCTCTGGCAACTATCTGTCATTCTATGCATCCACTGAATAATCTCTTTATTGTTTGCATATTTTATCATAGAACAACAGAGGTTTTCAAAGATGCATTAACAGGATGTATGTTTTCATAAAGTTGATTGCTTTGATATCACAATTGTAGCCTTTGCTTCAAGCTGAGAATTTGCGATGGAAGAGCCTTGCAGTGCAGTGTATTTCAGAAGGTGTAGTTCTCTGGCTTTCATAGGATATGTGAACAATTGCAATGTTTAAAAATGAATGAACAGTTTCATTTTACAAAAGTAATGTTGCAGAAATATCAGAAAAGACGTTTTGGGCATTTTGCAGCTGCTTTTCCTACTGAAGATTTTGTTTCCGCTTGAGATTTTTCTGTGGAGAGAAGGAAACATTTTAAAAATATATTTTATTCTATTTTAAGAAAACTTTCAAAAATATTTCCTAGAGACTTGAACAATCCATCTTTTAAATGACGATGTTGATAATTTGGCTTCACAAATAGCTAAATTTGATTTTCTTACTACAGATGGTATTTTCATGACAGTAATAGATTGTGGCAAGATAATTTTGAATGCTTTCTGCATGCATAATATGGAGGACCATATTATGTGCAGATAATGATTATAAATGAAGGAATTTGAATCTGTTTTGTTGCATAGGAGAGTGAGGAAGATTATCGAACTTGTGGTGCTGTTGCAGTGCAGAGTGCTCCGGTCTACACAGTGCATAGCGAGAAAAGAGAGAACTCAGAAAAGCGAAGGCTTGCACAGGTAAGAGCCCTGGAACGTCTGTCCTACTTCACATGCATGTGAGGAAATTTTTTCCAGTTAGAGTAATGCATCAGTGAGTATAAGATTATTTCACTGTCTGTGTTTGAATAGCATGATTAAATCACAGTGTTTAAAGCAATACTTCTGTCATAGCATACTGCTCAGAAGGAGAAAAAATGCTATTCGTACTTCATCTCTGCTGAGAAGGGAAAACCCGGGAGATTTATCAATATAGATCTGAGATTTAATTTATCTTAAATCTGTTTTTGATAAAGGTTTCTTGTAGCAAATATGCTCTGCTCTATTCACAGACCTGTGTTAAGCCATCTATTTTAGTTTCTGGTAATGGAATACATCAATATTGTATTTGTAATAAATTGATCTGGCAGTTGCATGACTTTTAGCCCTGTTCAGAAAGTTATAATTTGTTATTTTATTAATGAGCCAAGTAGTTAATATGATGTCAATCTCATCCTTTTGTTCTCCAGTCTGCTCTAGTCCCAAATTGCAGTAACAGGTGTAACGTCCCAACTTTGGCAAGGGTTTTAATGGCTCTGTGTTCATTTTGACAATTTTATTCCAGACTTATCAAGAAAAGAGTTTTCATAATACTTTTTTACTTGCAAGGAATGTGCGTACGTATGTATTTTAATGTTTGGATATAGATTTTGTATTACAATGTTATCGCATGCTTTTAATGACACAATGAATTTTTACATGTGGGTTTTTAACACATATATCTTCCTCAGATACCAAGTATTGAAACTCAATCCAGCTGATTGTAATAGCATTTTCTTTTTGCTCTTGAGTGCAATGATAAAAACTGAATTGCCCTTGTAATCAATTGAGTTTCAAATTAGCTTTGTTTTATTCATAATGAATACAAAGTCAGTGAAGTTCAACACAGAATTGATGCAGATAATTGCTAAATAATGCTGAAATTGTATGTTAGCATTAAGTCATGATTTTTAGTGAGGTTATAAATAATACAATGATTTTCTGCATTGAATTATTTAGGCAGTTTTTAGTTTGTGCATGCTTTCATGATCCCTTTCAAGCTAGTGATAAAGTGTCAAACTGTGTGCCCTCACTGTATTTTTATGTACAGGCAGCTGGGGTGCCTCCCTTCTTTACAAAACTTGCCTGCAGCACATTCTCTTCACTCAGTATCCGAACAGAAGATATTCTGTGCTATACGTATGGCTCTAGTACTGTAGTATTAAAAACAAGAATGGGTTCTTAAAATATTTGCTGCTAATAGATAACTCCTTTTAAAATACAGCAACTTTTTTCCCCTGCACCAAAATAATTTGATAATGTGAGGTAGTAAAAAGCTTTTTGTACAGCATAAAGCAATATACAGATTTTATATATATATATATAAAATACAGATTAGTGTAGGTGAATCTACAATTGTATGTGTCTGTAAATATGTCACAAAATGCACTCTTGGAGGCACTGAATTCTTATAGGCTGTTTTTATTACAAAAATGTGCAGTAATTTGCTAGTGTGGTAGTCCTGCCTATTGCTAAGTGCAGGAGGCAAGAGATTACTTTATCTCTGTGCAATTTAGCATTTCTTTTGAGGGCCTGTTCTGACAGAACAATTAAACCTGTGTGTGTGTGATTGTTCGTACAGCTGCACACTGCTAAATCCCTCAATGTTATTGTTGTTATTCGTATCAGACATTTTCTGGTTTTGAGAGGAAGACAGAAGGTATATCATTCCATACGTTTCTATGCATATATAGTTAGAGATGTATGTAAATACATACATGCATACATAGATGCAGAAAAGGTTTGTTTACTGTAAAGCGTGGTAACTAACAGCCTCGTATTCTTGCCCTGCTGCAACCAGAATGTCCCTGGTCTTCTCCCCAGCTCTTGTCCACAACACCACCTGAGCCCGGGATTAGGGGAAGAGCGAGCGATGCTCGCTCACAAGAACTCAGATCTTGTGCTATTGCTTTTCCCTCCTCTTTACGCTGCTCCCCTTTTCTTCCTCTCCAAAGGCAAGTAAAAGCAAGTACTTTTTTTAAAAAAAAAGAAACAAAAAACGCACTACTTTCTACTTGGTTTAATTTTTGTTCTGTGGTAAGTCTTTAAGTAAAAATAAATGCATTGTTTTTATGATTAGGTGTTGATTTTAATCTTTACATCCAAATAAGTATAAATATGTGCATTGATAAGTGCACAAGAGAGCCAGTGTTTCAGAGCTGGTACTGAACCTACGGCATACAACAAATGAGTCTCTTTTCCTATTATTGCTTAATATTATATCTATAGCACTCTCTCTATGCTGGAGATGAATCTTTTCACCTAGATTTCTAAAAACGGTACCCATGAGTGTCAGCAGCAATATAATGGTACTGCTAATGTGGCAGTTCATGCATGTTGGTAGATGATTAATACAGGGACAAGGTATTGATTAAGTTGCAGCATGAATCTGTTTGAATATCCACCCTAAACCTAAACAAATAACAAGCAGAAGAGAGAGTGCTTTTTGATAATCTTCTTGCTTCCAAAGAAGAGGCACCCCTGCACTTTCTTGCTCTCTCTTCCATCTTACAACATTTAATAACTTAAGTATAAAGAATTTGTTGTTAGATCTTGACCTGTCAGATGCGTGCTGTGAGCCATTAATTCTCTTCTGCTTGGAAAGAATGCATATGAAAGTCATCTAATACTTACCTGAGATACTGTACAATATTGTACTGTTCATTTGTATCGTTGTGTATGACGCAAAAGTTTCCTTCACTGTGACAGACCATTTTAAATATTTGTTCACAACAGGGTTTTGGGGACTGCTGTTCTGAATATGCTTTTACCCCAATAAATAGTAGTTTGTATGTGGGTCTGCTAATTAGTATGGTTATTTCCTGTTTTGTTGATGAGGCTTTAATAAATGTCAAGAGTACATCCACGAAGATCTCCCAATTAAGCTTTGCGTTTGTAAAACCCAGCCCCTTTGCTTTTGTGTGAAGATGACAGTTCCAACTGCAGCCTCAGCCTAACAGGGCTCCAGGGAAAGGATACTTCTCTGGTTTTATTGAAAACAAGGCCAGTTTGGCCCGGGGAGAATACCAGCACTGGTCACAGCGCAGAGCTGTTTTTAACAATGAATATTTACTAAGCTATAGCACTGCTCTCACAGTGCTCTTATTTTTTCTTTTTTTTTTTTGCCAGATCAGCAATAGACTATCAGAAATATAATAACAAATCAAAGGAAATTCTAGCATGTAAAAAAGCTGTCAAAATCTAATTGGAGGATAAATAATTAAATGTGTTATTGCAATTGCTCGTGATCAGCTTCCCTCCTCTAATTGGCATTTTGAAAGTCTTTCCTAAAAAAATGAAATAACAGGAGCATGCTTGTGTGTGCCTTCGTGCACGCGTGCGCATACACACAATTAATCTTTGCCTAGGATGAATTGTTCTATCTCTGTAATATTCATTTGAGCTTATTCTTGCTTAGGTTAGCTGTTCTACACTTTTCTACGTGTATGTGATTAACTGTATTGCAAATCAACATTAACAGATGGATTGCCCTAAGCAAGGGAAAACCACAACAAAATCTAGGGAAAGTGGAGGGTTGAAGCTTTTTATTGTTAAGCCTTATTAAAACCTTGGCATGTGCACCACTGTTAACCGTTTCATGCCTTGATTGAATAAGTCTCTGTTTTATCTCCTACTTTAATTAGATATAAAAGTATATCTAAGAAATTACTGGCTATAAATTTTTAAAATAAAAATTAATGCAAGCATGAGATCTCTTCAACTCTGCTTGCAGTGTCTTGCCAATGATATTGCTGTGTTCCTGTAACTATTGATGAGGGGGTATTACGGTGCTGAGAATTCAGTTTTTGCATAATCTACTTTAATTCTGTTCCATTACATATGTGCAAGTAAAGCTGATTTCTGAGTAGACAAGGGTCTGTATGCAGTGAGAGTGCCGCAAAATTGCTAAAAAATAAGTAAATAATTGAAAAGACAACATGGCTATTATGAGCCCAGAAGATCTATTTGATTTCATGAATAAGATCTTTGTAATTTTACTGTTTTATCAGGTGATAGGGTAGCTTATTAAAAACAGAGCATTTGAGGATGTAAATAGTACTAACGTATTTAGTGGCTAATAAAATATCCTTGCAGGTTTGCAGAAAACCGAGTAAGAAGAAGGGGTTCATGGTATAATGAGTAAGTTAGCAATGCCCCCTTGTCTCTAAGGAAAGGTATGTAATACCTGGGCTGTTAGGCACGCACCGGCTTGCAGACGTAATGGAAACGTGGGCATTTGGGTTCGAAGTGTGGATTTACCAGGAATCCGTGAGTGTCAGCGCTACTTTGAATGCTCATATATTGAGAAGCTGAGAGAATGACTTCCCATGACTTTGCAAGATTTAAATGCAGTGTCTAAAAAAGTTTTAAAAAAAAAAACACTTTTGCGTGAGGTAATAAAAGCTATGCAAGTCTGAACTTGTTTTTTAGTATTCCGGAGCAGAATTAACTTTTTTTCCTTTAGCATATGACAAATGTAGCTTTTACAGCTTTGTTGTAGTGTATTAGCTAGAAAGTACGTAATTGAGATTGGAGTAGGTACTTGGCTTCAGTTCAACGGAGACATTGAGAGTCAGGGAGGAAGATGTGTTCAGAATAACCTCACCTTCAGGAGTGCCACATTTATCAATACCCCTACAATGACCAGGAAAATAAATGACATCATCATTAGCTACTGAAGGCCTGCGGTAAGTGATTACCCACCTAACCTGAAAAATGGTGAGAGTGGGCTGTTCTGAGGAGTTGTTTTTTTCCAAGAGCATGAAAGAGGAGTGAGAATGCCTGTGATAATGCAGTGCTGAATGTAGGTATTCTATATTAGGAGACTGAATGCTGAGAATGAACTTGAAAGAAAAAGAAAAAAAGAGGGGAAAAAAGCCTCACAGATAACTCGATAATAATTTCAGAACTATAGTAGCTCTCATTACAGAACTTTGTTTTTATTTGTACTCAGTTAATGTGCTTGAGATCACATCCATGCCTTATGTTCAAGGAAAATACTAGTTTTATACCTGGAGGTATCTTTACCCCTTATTGACTAAAAATATTTACGAATAGACAGATTTCATAACCAGTAACATGCATTTTTTTTAAAGGAAATTACATTTTGTTTCTGAGAAATAAGGTTTTGGAATAAGCTTTGGTTGGTTAGTAAATTCTGTTTCTTCAGCTAAATTGGCACAATTAAAAATGCTGTAAATATCATGAGCTTTCTTAACTTGGACAAAAATCTTTTGTCTTGGTGTGTCAAATAAGATCTCTTCATTCTGTGAAACAGATTTCCTTTTAATTAAAAATGAAAACCTAGGCAGCAAAAATTCAAATTGCAGATTACGAGAGTGCCCTCTCGTGGCTTCAAGGGTGTATCCTTTGCCATATAAAAGCCTTGCTTTTTGTGGCAGCAGATCATTTGGAAATCAAGCACCATTTCCTTGCATTATTATTATTATTAATAATTAAAATATTAGCAGTGTTTAATGTAACCTAAAGATTCAGGTGTTTCCATGTGTCTTGCATCCTTATATTGTCAGTATGAACAGCACAAGCAGAGCTGGTGTCCCCACATTGCTCAGAGCTTCCCCTCACCAGCTGATAGCAGTCACTGCCTCTGCTGTGATGGTGGCTGATTTTCATTTAGTCAGGGAACACATTTAAATGAAAAAAGAAAAAAAAAAAAAAATATATATATATATATATACACATATATATATATATGTATGTATGTATGTATATACCTTTGTAAAGTGTTTTTTGGTGTTTTTATTAGTGAGAGTCCTGTTCTCTTCTGTGCCCACTCTCTCCATGGGTTTCAGCAAAGGGCTGTTGCACCTCTCTGGCAGGATTCTGTCCATTGTTAACCCATGAAATGAAGTAATCCTTGCCTGTCCTTCTTTGGATTTTTCAATGAACATTCAAGAAATCTCTCCACTAATTACCATGATTCTTTTTAAAAAAGAAAATTCTTTAAAAAAAAAAAAAAAAAAAAAAAAAAAAAGGAAAGATAGTTTAATGATCAGGAAATTGCTCTGGAATTTTTTGTTGCCTGGTGGGACGTTTAATGGAACACTTAATTTTTCAGGGCAATATCACCAGTGCATCTAACTTTGATCTATCTGAGAGAGAAATTTAGGCAGTAAAAAGTTTGCAGATGCTTTTCCTGGCTATTAGATCTGACTACTAGAATTTACTTTGTCAGCAAACACAAGAGCAGCTTTTCGAAGGGCCTTTCTTCTACAAACAAATGGAAGAATCTAAAAGAAAAACGCTCTTTCACAAACAGGAGAGCTTATGGACATCTTAACATGTCAGTGCTATCTTCTGCTTAAATTACTGTTTCTTCTGTGCTCCTGAGGAGCAATCAGGCAGCATTCTGACCTATCCTGTCCAAAGCAGGGGGCCCAGGGGTCAGTCCACCTATGTCCCTTCCAGACTGCTTTTGCCTCCTGGCCTGAAAGTTCGGAGAGCACAACCTTGTATCTAAAGCTTCAGCTCTGTCACTGACTGTTCCCTAACCTTTTCTTTCTCTCTCTAATCCTGTAACTGAGTGGAGGAAAAAAAATGAATAAAGAAGTTCAATTGAAAGTAAAGTTTGCCCTGGAGGCTGAAGGAGGGAGAAGTAGAAGAAACAGAAAAAGCCTTTCCTGTAGGGATCTTAGTGTCTCTGAATGTGAGAGTCAGGATTAAACACAGATAATTTTAGACACTTCACTAAAATGTCGAAGTTACTCGCAATGGTATCTTGTGCTTTTTCCACAGTAAGTGGAGTAAGAGAGGCATGGCCAAAGGGCAATTCAGCCCATGTAGGATCAAGATTACATCCCAGTAATTCCACTTTCCTGCTGCTTGTTGTGTAATTTAGGCATGAGAGCAGCTGGGATTAGTGCAGGTACCCAACTCAGAGTGCCATCCATGTTCCTAGGTGCCTTGTAAAGATCCTGTGTGTCAAGCAGTATAGCCTTACTGGTGCCAAGTGGGTGGGTCGACTCCTCTAAGTGCCTAGTTCTGGCTGGGAGCCTTGGGCAGAAATGTATTTGGAGTCAATCTTATTGTATTAGGGCACAATCACTTTTCTTTGTGACTGTGTACTTAAATGTGACTGGTATCTATTGGCTCTTCAGTTGTCTGGAGGTTTGATGGACAGAGTTCAGTGCTGCTCAGGTTTTATGTAATTTTTTTTTTTTTTGTAATATTTGGGCTTCCCATTAAATTTTATGTCTAAAAAAACATGACTTTTCTGTTGAGGATCACACCTGCTTAATGCATTTTACCTTCAGTCACTTATATTATTGTCTTAACATGTTTGTGCTTTTGACAATTTTTCCTCTGAGAAAAGTTGTGTGTGATCTGCCGTGATTAATTCCAGAAGGGATTTTGCCACGTGATAGTTCTGCTGATGCAAGAATATGTCATATGTTTTAACTAAAAGATTGGCTTAACAAGTAATCTTGGTTTTACCTGCATAAGAATGATATCAAATAGATAACATATTCCAACCAGGTGAACCGTGTTTGCAACTCTTCTGAATCACTGAAGCTACACTGTGTGTTACATTCTGGTCTATGGGCTTTTATGCTTCCTCAGAAACACCCTTTCTTTCCTGCCTTTCACAGGCCTTTCTAGATGTGGATTAATTTTTCCATTCTGTTGTGTGCTCCCCTCATCTTTTTACTGGTCTCAGTGCTCCATCCTGCTGCTTCCCTTCAGTCAAACAATTGAATATTGTTACTATCAAGAAACAAAATAAATGGAATTTTTTGGTTAGTTTCTGTAACTAAAAATTCTGCCAGTAAATCTCATTCATAAAATTGCTCGCAAAAGAATCCTCACCAAACCAGAAAGAATTATTGTTGATAAAATAGCTGCTGCCTTTAGTTGTTGCAAATAGCACTGGCAATCTCAGATGATGATCTTGTAGGTTGTTTCCAACCTTGTGATTCTATGATTCTATGTCCAATTTTAAAAGGCTAATGCTTTTCCTTGCTGCCAACACAAGTTCAGGCAGGCTGCCTTCCTTTGCTGTGCTCTGTGTGCCCAGATGTCACAGCATGTCAGCTGCAAGTGGCCAGTTTCGCTAAGAATGGCCTGTGTGCCATGGAGAGGGATGAGACTGAGCTGACTGTGTAGGGCAATGCCAGCTGTGGGCAGCTTGGGGCCTCAGTCGGTGCACAGGGGTGGGACATGTCATGGGCTTCCCAAAAGAAACCACTCCAATTCATTAAAGGAGACTTGTTGTTTGGAAGATAAACAACTGTGTCTGAGAAAAGTGAGCAGAAGTGTATTTAATCTGTAAAAATGCAAAGCAGTATCTTATTTGAGTAAAATCCTCAAATAACATCTGTTCAGGAGTATGAATGTAGAAAGCTTAGAATTTGTTAATTTGTCAAGGTCCGAATTTGGAACAGAAATAATAAGAACATGCTTTCCATGACCATCTCTCTCAAGAGATGTCACTGCTGTGACAAATCCTGCCTCAGCGCTGATATTCCTGTTCATGTTGCCTTTGTCTTTAAACATACTTTGGGGACTTTCCTGCTGTGGCAGACTCTTTACTGCCACAGAAAGGATTTCTTTTTCTCATTGGGGACCTACTTTGTTGATTTCTTTTCCTGTGCCATTTCAATTATCAGGATCTCAGAATCAAGGACACTGTTGTCTCATGGCATACAGTTGTGTGTTTTCCAGCCACTTCACAATCTTTCAAATGCATTATCTATGCATCTCAATATGTTGAAGCGGAGAAGGTCTTTATCCTGGGAAAGATGAAGCTGTTTTTATGTTGCATTAAGAAGTCTGTAAAACTACCATTAAGTCCCATGTAATGCTACTACCTTTACTAATAAAAGGAAATTTGGCATCTTAGATGGTATCCATTTAGTTTATTCAAGGCAACTTCTATATATCAAACAGCACGGCATCACTATGTTATCTTACTTTATATGGGTAAAAGCATGCAAGGAATTTTTGAAGAGACCACTTCTAGAAATTCACCTGGAATTTTATTTCGCATCCATCTTGGTCTGGTGGCGGTGTAGCTAATTGGTATTCCAAGCACTACTTTCAGCTTGTCGGTGGTTATTTGTACCATACCCTTGAAAAAGGAAAGGCAACTAGGAAGATAAAGTTTAGTAACTGTACTTATGTTTTATCTCTGTTCTTCCCCTTCTCCCTATCAGTCCTGGCTCTTGTGGAGTGCAAGGTTAAGTATGCTTCCTTTGATTTCATTACCCATTGCTTCAGTTCTCAGTCTTTAACTGGAAAGGAGTGGGTTGTGGTTAAGTGGAAAGCTGGGCACTCTGGTCTTTTGCTTCCCTACTGGAGGTGAAACTGTAATTGCTTCTGTTACTGTGTCATAGAGGATAGGTGAAATGAAAAACTGAAGCAGAAGTAATAGTGGATTTCTGTTTATTTTACTTTCTCATACTGAATGAATTATCTTAAAATTATTAAGAAAAAGCAAACAGTACTTCATGTATTTGAAGTGTAGTAGATATTTTTCTTTACTTGAAATTCTACACGTGCTGATATATTGAGCAGGCAGTAAATGTGAAGTTATATATGCGCTGCCATTACTCAAAAGATTATTTGTTTCTTACGTCGAGGACAATTAATGGCAGCAGCCTGGTTAAACTTCCTGCCTCGCTGCTGATCAATAAGCACTCATTCCAGAAAGTTGTGCTTCTGAAAGGTCTGGTATTAAATAAAAAACTGGTATTTCAAAGATTGACTTTTGTGCCCAATCAAAAATGTAACCATCTTAAATTTAAATCCTTTAACATTCCTGTATTTTGTCTGCTTTTTTATGCCAAAGTTGTATATTTTGTGAGGCTACCAGCAAGCAGAATACAACAGTATAAGGACCCCTTCTCACTTGTTTGATTTTACCCACATTTATCCTGTCATCACCTTTTTCTGATTTTGGTGATCAGCATTTGTTGCAGTTGTATAGGTAACAAACCACTTGTGGAAAGGGATTTTGAAGTCAGAAGTCAGGCAGAAACCCAATGGTTTGAATCTTTAGCCAAATGCATCACCTTTATTATTGAAAGAATATACTTGGGATTAAAGGCAATTGCTTGCAGTCAGTGAAAAATGGAATGTATGGCAACAACGTTCCATTGTCCATAGTCAGGAGTGATCAGCTGCAGTCTTATGCTGCCACCAGAATGAATGAATGCAATTTCCAAACATCACTAGCAAAAAACCATTGCTCTCCATGGAGCTGTGTTGTCTGAACATAATCTCGTGCTGACTGTGGTTGATCCTTTGCTGTATTTTGCATGCAGGCTTGGGAGATGGTTCAACAGTGGTTTGTGGTGAGTGCAAGCTTGTTGTGTGATAAACAGCATGTGTTGAACTCTGCTATATTCTGAGAAAGGTGAGAGATGGGTTTCTGTGGTGCAAGGTGCTTGAAGATGGAAAAACATAAAATGCCAAGGCTGAATCTTAGCTAATATTTAGATATAAGGTAGAAATATTAAATAATATATTTATTATGTTAGCAGAACTAGTTCAAATAAGAAAAACAGCTAAGTAGTTCTTAAGAAATTTGTTTCTTCAGTTGGTAGAAAAAACATGACAGCAGTCTATTAAGACTTTATAAAGTTCTGGTGCAGCAAGAAAGGAGTGTTACAATATCATTTCTTGAGGTAATAAATTTAAATGGTCTGGTTGTTATTAGAATGCTGATCAGGAAGGAAACAGAAGTCTGTCCTTTTTTCATAAAATGGTATAAAAAAGGTTACACACTTCAAAATGCAGAAAAGACAAATTAAAAGCTTAAATAACTGCAAACAGCAGGGTACGTCAGTAATGGAAGGACTCCTTAAATGACTTTGACAGCTTTTGCAGGTGCACGTACTATGTCACTTTACCTAGTGGAGCACTGAAAAAGATTTATGGTTCTCTTTTTGCAATTTATTAAGAGTTTCTTTTTTTCTTTTTCTTTCTTTGCAAAAGAGTCTGGACATACCCCTCCCTTGCAGTAGTTTTTATTGCAGCTCCTAGAGGAAAGTCACCTATTCAAAAACATGTGTTGCTTGTTGTCTCAGTGGCCAGCTTGCAGAGCTGTAAACTCCGGAGAATGTTGTTATTTACAGACAGATATTTGCCTTTCTTTCTCCTTTTACATTTTCTTTCCGTATAGGGATCTGATTTAATTTGGATTAATCTTGAATTTTTTTCTTGTATGAAGCCTAAACATCTAATTTGATAGCAGAAATCCTTTCAGAGTCTGACCAACAGGACCTAGAAATTTTGTTTTTTTTTTTTTAAAGGTTTGTTGATGTTTGCTATGTTATACTCTTCATATACGATATTTTGCTTTCACTGATTTGTGTCTGTAATACTACCCTAAGATGCCTCAAGAAGCCAAATATGTGTAACTGCTATGTCTGTGCTGTTCGCTGGTTTTCAGTAATTTCATTCCTGTTTTTCAAAGGCACAACTTTTTTTATTGTTAAACTTGCAGACTTTTAAAAAGCTCTCTGAAAAATTACTTCCTATGTTGACATATCATGGAGTTACCTTGTAGGAATTTATTCAATTGACAGAGTTAACCCATCTGAGAATAAACAAGGGTTTGGTTTTCAGAAAATTCTCAACGTTTTTAAAGACTCTTTCCTGAAAAATCTCCTCTTTATGTTAATAGAGGTAAAAGAGGCAGCATCTAATTCTGATGCAAATTTCAAGCGAAAGAGGGTTTTGCCCTCCAAAAGTCAGTTCCAGGGTTAGAGCTTTAATGTAAGTGAATGTCACGTCAGTCAGAATTTTCCAGACCAGGTAGTGAATTTCCAGTCTTACAGAAATAAACTATTTTAATTGCCTCAGTGAAGACAAACTCTAAAATTTAAATCAGTGAGGTAGCCAATTAACAGTATCAATTAAGGCAAAGTAGTTAACCTTCCTTGTAGTTATTTGCAGTAGTGTGATTGATTTCAGTAATGATGGAAATAATTCAAAGAACTCTCAGAGCCTGGAAATAACTTGAATTTACAAAGGAAATTTAATTGACTGCTGCTAATGAAAGGAATAGATAAAATACTTCTACTTAGCATGGTGCAGTACAACTGCAGGTAACTACCCTGGTGTGTAGCTACCGAAAGACCAGTGGGCCATCTTTTAGCAATTTGCTTTCTTGCAATCTGTGCTGTGTTTAATAGATCTTGTCTGCATTCATTACTGTCTTTTTTTCTATTTCTAATTTCTATTTCTAAATGTTTTATTACATATTTTGATTCTTTGCATTAAAATAATTATAGTAAAACCATTCCTGCTCAAAGTTTTAAAATTATTCCTATTTCTGTCGTACTAACGAATAATAAAGTACTATTTTGTCATATAAGTTATATCTTATGATGGCTTACTCATTCAAAGCTGTTTTACCTGGTTTATCTGTAACATTTCCTAAACCTTCCCAGTTTTATATTTAATAAATAGTGCTTCAGAAAATGGTCCAAACATTTTAATATTGCGTTTGAGCACTATTTGTTTGTTCTGCTAAGCTAAGTCAAACCAGAGAGTGTTCTATAAGGTGTTTATCAGTAAAATATGTAGGTCACTCTGAGAGTAATGCCTCCTATTTATTTCCATGGAAACTACAATGGATACAAAGAACACAATAGCACTATCTCATAGAGCAAATTCTCAGCTACAAAATGATTTTTCAACATAGTCACCACCAGTAGCTGTGCGTTTTCACCAGCAGTTAAAAAGAGTCTGCACACCGCACAACCATCTGCACCAGAGAAGATGATCCACTGTCACAGTACTCTAACAGTGCTTACATCCACTGTTTGGTCTCTATCAACATTCAGAAAGCACTGATGAATATCAATGGGTGCCTTTTTTCCTGCCTGGAGGAATTCAATGGCACTGCTTTGCTTCATACGCGCTTCTATGTTGGAAACCATTTTGTCAGACAGTCCCTCTGCTGCCATCTGTCATCGTGGCAACAAAATGTGGTGGAATATTGGTAGGAAGGTTCAGCCTCTAATGCCACATTACAAACATCCATCCCTAATGTCACCAGGGGCTTGCAGGCATTTGGTGAACTGTATGATGAGATGTGGGTAGTAGCACTTCTTTATACTTGTGTATGATTTTCTTTAAAGTTAGCTAACATTGTTTTCCCTTTGCACAAATTCTGTCCATGTGTCTTTAAATTATGGCCAGTCTTACAAAGCTTGGAATCCCTTCTGTAGGCGGATTGTCCGCACTGTTAATTTTTTGTGGGGTTTTGATATGAAATGATTGTAAGAGATGCACAGACCTTCTGACTATCACTTGTGTTTCACAAATTTTTAACTTAAACATTCTGATCAAGATAGAGATTTTTTTCCAAGTGTAGTAAGAATCTTCAGCCTGGTCATGTTTGCCAAATAAAAATGTGATTAAACAGGTTACTCAGTATGATAATGTGTGAATTTACAGCTAACTGCTCTGTACAGGCTTCTAATAGGATGCTCTGAGTGTACACTAAACTTAAGTAAGTGTAATTTAAAATAAAGTATCTTGCACAAAGGCATCCTTGTTGTACAGCTTTCAAGCTGATGTAGTTTACTCTATCCTTCTTAACACTCAAATATAAATTCAATTGTGTAAAGAGACTCCAGGCTTCTTGCCACTTTCAGAAATCCATTCTTCTTCATGCTCAGTAGACCACATTAACTTCAGAACTTTGCAGATATTTCTGTCAGAAAACAATAAATTACAGTGCTTTGTCTTTATGAGAAAGGATAGGTAGTAGCTTGAGTGATGCTTTACATTGTATAGGCAGCCTTCTGCTAATCAAGGCTCTGCATAAATAATAATGCACTCCACAGACCATGAGGAAAAATGGTTTTCTAGCTCTTTAACTGATTACATCTGTGAATTTTGAGTTTTCTTATAACAACGTCTAGAAGACTGGGTCAATATGTGCCTTTCCTTATTGGGTGCTTTGGAAGTCTTTAACGAGTGTGGTAGCAGTTAGATTCCAAATAATGCTGGCATGCACTTGAGTTTTGTTTCCTTTGTTTAAAAAAGACAAGAAGTGTGTAATATTAGTTTTCTATCCTCCAGACACGTTTCAACCAGCACCTCAATAACCAGGATTTTACCTTGGATGAAGATGATGATGATGAAATAGAGAGAACAAGCAAGTAAGAGGCCTGTTGGGATATGTGTGTATGTATGGTGATTAGGAGAGTTTGGTATAATCCTGAATCTTTACAGGTCAGGATACAAAGAAGAGTGAAATTTTGTTTGTCAACATGGTGACCTCAGCTAACCTGGTCCTTGAGTTTTTGGCCATGGAAGGAGCTTTTTTAGAAGTATTCCAAATAGACAACGCTAGGGAAAGACTGCAGTAGCGTGGAGGTCAGAAGTAAGGTTGTTGCAGTGAGTGAAAGAGAAAATAAGAGACAAAAACACTGTTTGCAATTGCAGGTAAGCATTACTTGGGTAAATCTGCTCAGGTGACAGAAGAAGAGTTGCAGTATGAGAGCCTTGCCACTAGAACAAAAGATGTGGCTAGATCAGCTGGAGAGAGGTGTAGCAATGCTTACCTAAATATAAGGTATAGACAAGGCAAAAGTGGAACCAAATTTGGAATAACAATCAAATTCCTGGGAAGGTTTGGGATATCGTGTTAAGGATAACTTAATAGTTGAGTGGTTAAGGAAGAGCAAAGTGAAGAATCACCAAATGGCCACTGCCTCTGTGTGGATCTGTACATCTATCTTTAGGTAGGGTTGTTGACCTCGAAGAAAAGTGGGGCTTATATTCATTTTAAGTGTTTGAATGTATACTGCTACTTACTTTCAGGAGTGTCTGTAGTAATGTAGTTTTTGTGCTCCCAACTGATGCAAAAGATTTTGTCTTTAGGTTATCATCAGAAGACAGTGAAGAAGCTTCTGCTTGCTTTTATGATAGTGATGATTCCGGGGACACTGGAATTACTTCACAGCAACAAGGAGAAATGGACTTGCTTGGGGAGATTTTGGACACGCTGAGCACACACAGTTCAGATCAAGGAAAGCTTTCAGGAGCAAAGAGCCTGGACTTCTTTAGGTCGATGGATGACATTGATTACAAGACTACGGTTAGTTTCCTGGTTTCACTTGAACATAACCACAGTCCTTTATACTGGAATCCTGCACTGCTGAAATCAACAGCATGCAGACCAGTCACTACTGAATAGTCCTTACAATTGCTAGCATGTCATTCTGCTGCTGCAAAACAGCACACCCATGCTGGTAGCTTTGTGATGGATTTTCATGAGTCAAGATATTGGTTACACTTTTGTTCAGTTTGCCAAGTCATCTGGAAAACGGACTTTTTTCCCTTCTAACAGTAACCACATACAAAACTGTTAATAATGTAATAATTTACTTAATCAGATAATTTAGTATTATATTTAGCTGTCCAATCTTGAATTCCCAGAGCTAGTTTTAATCTATGTTATACGGTTTAGAAGGAATTTCCATTTTCACATTGCATCATTAAATTAGTCATATTGATACGAAGCCATCAGAAGTCCTGGAATCCACAAGCAAACCACTTTTTGGGTCAGAGCTCTTGCCTACAACTTTATAAACCCTTCCCAACCCACTGCCATGTTATTAGCTGAAAAAATACTGGTGTTTTTGAATTCTGGCTTATATCAGCTGTCCAACATTTATTTTGCTGAAAGGAATCTGATAGTCAGAGATTTGTCACTGAAACAACAAATTCTGACAAATGTTTAAAAAGCTTGTAAAATTTGATATTATGAATGTCACGCAGGGGTCACATTAATAAAATGCCCATTTTTGTTTGTTTAGCTAAAAGTTGGTATAATTAATTACTGAAGGAAAGAGGAAATACCATCTGGTTTTAGTTTTAGTCTAGCTCCTTCTCATATTTATGGTACAAACCAGCAAAGTGTCTTTGTTCACTGTCAAAACTGCTTGTGCAGAGACTGAAAGGACAGGGGATGCGGAATCTTTGTACAAAAGGTGATCCCTTGGATAAAAAACAGCATTCTGGAAAGAGAGCTTAAAAAAAAAAAAAAAAAAAAAAAAAAAGCCAACAAACCACAACCTTGCTCTTACGTTGTTTCGTTGTTTCTGGAACTGTTGCTTTGTAAGACTGAAACCAAAAGGCAATCCATGATTTAGGAGCCCACAAAATCCATTACAGCATTTCTGTTTTATAAGTGTTAGTGTTTCTTGTGACATTAAATATAAGCACATTCTTTCTTTCAGAACAAGTCGAATGCACCTAGTGAGAGCAACCTGACCCTGCTGTGCAGCAGTGCTAATGACCAAGCAGACTGGAATCTCGGTCAGGATGACAGTGTCCTCCATGGGAAACAACTCCCTCCATCTCCGAGAAAACAAGTTTCTTCTGGCAGCCATAGAGAATCACTCTCAAACCTGAAAGAGGAAAACAGAGAGAAAACCATTGTTACTGACAAGATGGACATCACTAGTGGCTGTATAGCATCCCCATCTCCAGTACGATCAAGTGACCATTTTGCTTCTCTAGAAGGTTTCAAAGTGGGCTATAAGTATGCGAAGCAGAATGAAACACTAAGCAATACCTCAGAAGATCCACTCGCAGCAAATCTTGCTCAACATCCATCCATTCTTGTCCCTTGGGAGAAAGATAGGAAGGAAGGAAGTGAAACTCCAGATGAGGGAGGGCTTCTTCAGGAAGTGGTATCTTTATGTAAGCTGAATTCTGCTTTTCATTATGGTTTAAATATTTCAAAGGATAGCTTATCCAGCAGTAGCAGTGGAAATAAAACGTAAGAGAACTACAAGAAGAGGAATTTTACTCCCATCAGAAGTTTAAAGGGAGACTACTCAGGACTCCATATAACGTGATAACCAAAATCTGAAAAAGGAATAAGAGATTTTCAATTATAAAAAACAATTCAATTCAGTATGCATCTTCTGCCACTGGGACATTTGCTTCTATGTTTACCCAGTTCTTTTGTTGGCTGTAGTTAGGTCCACAAAATGGAACTAAATATATAAATGCACTCTTAAATCAGGTACTAGTTAGTCTCTGTGCTACAAATACAGCAGGTGTATGGTGCTTCCTAGCGTTTACTTCCTCTAAGCAGCAGGAAAGTTATCACCTAATAGGTAACCAGGTTTTGAAGGTACTGTATTAATCCCATTAAGCAGGAAACGAACCAAACAATCTAGATTTGTTTGAAATGTACAAATGTTAATACTTTTAGTGAATGATAATTGCCTTAATCTTTTGAGAAGAGGTTTAACTATCTTAGAAGATGAATGCAAATGTACAAAACAGCAATAATGATACTCCATGACAAGAATTTTCTTCAGCAAAGAGGGGGAAAAGGAAGGGTTTTTTTAGATTGAGGAATCACTTGTGACTATAACTTGGAACTTACTGCAAACTTAAACTGTGGCTCTGTCTTCCAGATTTCAGAAAGGTAGCATGTGCTTTTCTCTTTTCTGTAAAGTACATGAAGTGCTGAATTATAATGTGAAGTTTATTAACTTCTGTTTACAACTAAGACACTTTAAAGGCATATTATCCAGTTTCTATACGTAGACTATTTCATCTACAAATTTTCAGAAAGGAAAGTGTAAGTGGAATTGATAGATTCCTTTTTTATTATTATTGTTATTTTCTACAATCTATTACAGTTTGGAAACTAATTTGTGCCTCTTCTGCAACGTTTTCTTTTGATTCGTAGTACTTGCTGAAAGTAGTTCGAGTTGCTGTTACTTGGAAATCATATTTAGTTAAACTATTAATACTCATCACTGGGAAAGTCATGTAACACTAGAAAATTAAAATTGCTGATTCAACCTAAGACAGCTTATACCCAACTTTCATCTTAGCCATTTTCTACACCTAAAAATCTTTTTAACAAACTTTGTGAAAGAGAATAAATGGGCATACTGCACACTGTATTTAGAACAAGTATTTGTCTTCCTCTGGAAGCATTCCTGAAGAATATTTACATATTTAAAGTCCAAAAATCACTCCTGTTATATGGGGCAACTCTCATTTTCACTTCCCTTTTTTTTTTTTTTGTTTTTAAATTCGTCACTTTTCTTTCTCTACCTCTCCATCTTACCTTACGTGCATTCTTTTTTCCAGGATAGCTCAGCATAGGAAAGGTGTGAAGTCAAGTTTCAATAGATTACCATTGTCAGCTTTGAAGGATATTTGTGATGCAGTTAACAGAAGTAACACGTGGGTTTTAAAATGAACTGTGCCTGAGACGAATGTTCTCCTGCTCTTCTAAACTGGTGCCAGAAATGTTTTTTTCTTTCTCATTTTGGCACGAATGTTTAGTCATAGCCTCGGCGTAGGCCTGAGTGAGCAACTTAATGAGGTCAGGAGTTGGATCAGATTGCTCTTTAATATCTTTCTAGTAGTTTGTAGCAAAATTTAATATCAGTCTCCACGCTGAGATTTATGAATGAATTTTCCTTCTAGCCAGCACAAATGGAAAGGGTTTTCTTGACTGCTTTATTGCAAGGCAGCTGACCTAAGGGAATGGATTGATCTCATTAGACAGGCAACGTTTGATGCTTTACTGAAGAGCTGCAAAGGCATCCCTGCATAAAGCTTTAAAGCAAAAGTTTCAATGATGTGTTCCAAAATTTTGGTTCGTTTGGGGAGAAGGGGAGACTCAGTACTTGTTGAGGATAAGGCTCCAGATACAATCAGTGCAAGGGAGGTAAAAGGTTGTAAAAGTGGAAATCTTAGGGAAACGTCTGCGTCTGATTAGAGCATGAGCATTCCTGAGGGCATCTGCAATATGTATTGCTGAAGAATCTCAGTGTTTCTGAGTTAGAGGTTTAATGTGCTGAGCTCTGTGCGCTGTCCTTTGGTTCATGGTAATGTGTAACAACATGCTGTATAAGCTGGAAATAGATTTTTAAAATTCATGTAAAAATGTTATCTAGCAAAATATTTTATACAGTCAAAAGGAGCTAAATAATTAAAAATTAAAATAATTAAATAATTTTTGTTGTAACCTTTCCAGGAAGGTCAGAGTGTTTGACTCAGATTCTGTTCAGATGAGAGCAGCAGGAAAACTTGATAGATGGATGCTTGTTGGGAGGTGATATTAATGACACAGTAGAGGACATTGTTCTTTACTGGTACTAAAGATTGTCCAAATGTAGTGCTTCTAAACGCATCTAAGGGAAGATAACCTATGCAAAGGTCTGTGTTCTTGTAGAATTTCTCACTTGTTCTCATCCACGTCCTCACAATTTCCAAAATTTGCATTTTGCATCCAATGCAGTGCTTCTGTCCATACTTCTATCTAAGATGATCTTGTTATCTTTGTTTATTAAAGATAATATTGATGTCTTATGCAGGAAAGTTTCAGAACTTCTGGCTATTGTTCCTTTCAAATCAATCAAACACGCAGGTCCAGGAATGCTGCCAGAAAATGGTTTTCAAAAATGTCTATCTGATAGAATAAATCCTGCTGACTTTACATGAGAGTTCGGCACTGAACTCCTATTATCACATAGATTGTCCTATTCTCACCTTTGTGGAAAAAATATGGAAGCCATATGAGGCTGGTAATATTCACATAGTTATTATAAGGAAAGTAAAATTGAAAACTTGCTAGTGGATCAAGATTGATGCGTCACAGTAATAATTCGCTGTTACATTGAGTGAAAAAAAAATAAAAAGAAATAAACAGCTGAGTTACAATAGATAGGAGATAAAATATAACTTAGAATTATTTTTTATTTCAGTTGCCATCAAAATGTTTCTGCTTTCTTTCCTTACTATTTATAAAGCTTGTGGGGTGCTTACAGTCACTAAGCTGTATGTCTTTTTGGTTTTGAACCCTGTATATATTCAAAAATCTCAGTCTTATATATCTACACTGAATTTAACTGTAGGTACCTATTTAGATGTGTAACGTTACAGAATCTTTTCCACTTAGTGTCAGTGATGTTTAAAAAGGCTAGTATTTGTGCCTTATTGAAATGTCATTACCAGTTACCAAATAGACACAAGTCCAGAATAATATTTTTGATTCAACACTCTTCTCCTCTGTCCTTGTGCTAATATAAAGCTGTCTATTGGCTACATATGCAGTATTTTTATTACCACATTGAGTTCTATATTTAGATAAATCGTTCAGGTCCAGTACTTTTTACAAGTTTTAGACTTGTATGCTTCTTATTTGTGGAAATTGTTCTAACGTCATTGAAAATCATCAGTGTTCCTCACCAGCTGCTGGTGAGAATTGAATGCTGTTTGGTCAGAGCTCCTGTGGTGGTTGTCAGAGTCCTCCTTTTTCCTAACACATCAAGATCTCAAAAAGCTTCCCATTCCTCGTGTTGTAGGGAGATATCAGGTTATGTGGTTAAGCTTTGTAGTCTGTTCTTAGACTTAGGAACAAATTTCTGACCTAAACAGACAGCACGAACATAGATGTCTGCCTGAAATGAGCTGTATTGTTTTGAGGGAAAAAGAAAATGCGGTAGAAAAAGATTGCTGAATTTTTCCAGTGAGATACTGAAGCAGAGCCTGGGAGTCCCCATGAGGGACTTTATGGAAATTCAGATTTCAGAATCCAGTTGTAGTGATTCCAACCGAATCATACAGGCAAAAATAGTTCTGCCTATGGGATAAATCCCCTCTGGGATTCTTGGAATGGATAATAATGTGTTGTCCCAGTCAAAGCCTTCCCATCCATGCATATAGCATTGCAACGCTGTGGAAAACAGCACAGTTTTCCCTGTGGAAAACAGGGAAGAGCAGTACTGTGGGCAATAAGGTGATTCTTGCCTACCCTCTAAGCATGCAGAGGGAAGGCAGTGGTGTGCTCTCCCATCCCACAGATTTGGAGATTATGCGGCTCCTAAAACTAGACTTGTTTTGAGGAAAAAATGTTGTTGTAGAAGTTCTCATATAACATTTTGACTGAAATCTTCATTGTCATTTAGCATTTCATTGGTAGTGCTGCTCTTTGGTGGAAGATGGGGTCCTCAAAATCCCATCAGTAGCTGAAGTCTCTCTCAGGCATGGTAATGCAGACTTCAGATGGAGCTTCAGACATGCTGGGAGCTTCTGAAAATCTCACCCAGTCTGTTAGAGAAATGTTATAGAGCTCAAAAATCTGTTTTAGATGTCTTTTTGGATTTTAGAATGAGCGTGTTACAGCTTTGTGTTCTTGTCAACTGTGTAAAGTTTTAGGCAAAAGAAAGCTAAGCCAGGTTTTTGAAACAGCTTTCATTTTTCAACCTCCAATCAGTCATATTCAGTCCTACAGAACAATCTTTCTTCGGTGCAACTGTCTAATCAGATTGCTAGGAGCATCTCAAAGCCTTTTTCTATGCATGTAATTTGAAGAAACATTTCATGCAATAAACAAAGTGCCAGTGCGAGGTCCTTTTGCAAACGCACCCCTGTGAAATCCTGCCTGTGGTACCCTGCCCAGCAGAAAGCCTCTGAATTGCTGTCTTCCCCAGCTGCGGGGAGAGACTGGGCTGCCCCTCATTCCCAAGAGAGATGTTTTCTCATCTCTTGGTGCCAGCCCTCCGTCCAGGTGCAGTGAGACTTCAGTTAGCTTGCTCCCAGCAGGCTAGAACTTCAGCCTAAATTACTGGGGCTACCAAAAATGGTGTCAGAGGTAAGCAGCTTCATTATTGCAAAGCCTAGAGTGGTAAAAGCTGCCTGCTCCCACAGTGAATCTTTGAAGTGTGAATGTAGGAATGCACCAGCAAAACCAGCGTGGATGGATGTGTGACTTGTCTTCTGTAACGTCATCTTTGCTGCTATTAGATGTGTGTGTCTGCCAAGTGTTGCTCACCTGCTAACAGAATCTGGGCTGGACAGAATATGTCCTTGTCCCCACCCCAAGGGTGTGGGCCATATCATGTTCTTCAGGGTGGATGAGAATAAAGGAATGAAAAAGGGATGGTATTTATTTATGTGTAAAACTTTCCTTGATTTGCTTTGTAATGTCTGTTTCATAGTTTCATCTGGTGGCCAGCTGAAAGTACTTAATTAAGGACTTTCCTGGAGGCTGCTTAACTTCCTCTGAATAGTTTCCTGAAAGGTACATGGCCAGCATGATGTGGAGGGCCAGGTAGTTGGCAGGGTTGCCATTTTCAGCTGAGTTGGAATATGAAGCAGGTGACACAGCTGAAAGTTATCCTCAGTTTCACTATAGTAAAGGGTACTCAGATTCACTTATACTATTCCCTAGGTCAATACTAAAGATATTAGTATTTAGAATCCAGTGACAGTATTAGCATTTGAAAATTGAGTTTGTTATGGTTCTACGTGAATTGACATTCTGTTAAAAATAAGGGAGCTACTTGGTTTCAGGGGGAATGTGTTGACTTTCAAATCTTCAGTGAATTTTGTGCAATATTTCTCCTTGTTTCAAAGTAATTTAGTAGTTTTGAATGTGCACATCTGCTTTTCAAGCAGGTCTTTGAAATTGTATTTTTAGAAAATGTGTAAAATTACATGTAGCACTGAAACATGGTTGTAAGATAAAAATATGAAGAATATATTCTAATGAGGCAAATGTATATTTCCAATGACCAGGAATAATTATGGATGTCACATTCTACAGAAATAATAAAGCTTGAGCCAGTGTTTATGTACAAGTGGGTAATCTTAAAACTGTATCCACTTCAGCTGAGATAGGATAAATATTAAAATTCGTAATCTTTAGTTATAATTTGATCACTTTTTCTTATAATGGTTAAAAATAAACAAGGAGTTAGGCACTGCTTTTCATTAGCACCAATGAGGGGACAGGTCAGGATGATGACCTGATAGTTATTATGAATTTAGTTTGTGACATCCCTAATTATCATCAGTCATTACTTAAAAAATCTACTAATGTTGCCAGTATCCTTTTAATTTTCTGTAAATTAATATCTTTATATACTGATGTACATTTTGTTTTAACCTTTGGTTTTCCCTGGAGAGCTTCTTTAAATTAATTTACTTGTATGAGGCAATAAAGCACTGTGGAACAGCTAGTCTTGGTGTAGCTAATGCACAAGAGCATTGCATCTGTTACTTTATGGTTTTTGAGAAGGAAATTTAAAATGCCTAGATGTTTAGCAAACTGGTCGTTTGTGTTTGTCTGCTTTTTTAAGACCCGTCTCAGTTATGATGAGAAATTCTCATTGTGGAAAGAGACACATTGTATATGCAATCACTTCTAATTTTTCCAGCACATTTTATTAGTGACTTTTGAAATCAATGTTAATGTCCTTATGTTTTTTAATACCTATAGAAAAGATATAAAATACAGTGCATTTTGAGGTTTTATTGACCATTTTTAATGATTTTGCAGACATAAAGAAGCCTAACCAGCATTATGCTAACAGGTTTAGCATTTTAGTTAATCACTGGCTGTTAATACAACTGGAACCAAACCTAAAAATGTATTCCATGCTTTTGCACCCTCTGGACTACTGTTCAAAATCATCTCAAGAATTGTATTTTAGACCTTAGACTACTCTTAGTAGTGCACTGTGTAATGTGTAGGAAAAGAGCTGTGAGTTTGTTTGGTTTTGTTTAATTTGGAGGGGAGGGGGCGGGCGTTTTCCAGGTTAATGGTTGTCAGTAGAAGTTGTTGGTGAAGTCCACGTTGCCATCAAGTGCCCAACACTGTATTATAAAATAAAACTTATCGATATTTAACAACTTGGGTGATCTTGTTTGATGGATTAGCATCAACAGCGTTTTCATACTTAACACATATGTAGAATAATAGAAAAGTACTTTATTTTGTTGGAAGCTTTTATCCGTTATTTCAGTTTGTCAAATGCAGAGAAAATTGTGTATTCTAATTTTAAGTATAGTTTAGTGTGAAAGTGAAATGCTGATGTCCTTTGTAATTCTAACGGCAGTTTAGTATCCTTTAAAAATTGGTTTGTGATTCACTCTTCTGAATTAAGAGCAAATCACCGTTAAGGGCAAACTGATGTCTTGTGCAGAAAAACCGTGAAGGCTGTGATTTCAGTACTGATGTACTCAATCTGCAACTGATAAAAATGCAAGTTACATTCATAGGAAACAATGAGGCTGTGATTTTAACACATGCTATCAGACTTGAACCAGCTTCCTCTAGATAGCAGATGATGCAAGTTGTAATGGTAATGTAGGATTTGTGACAGCAAGGTAAGGCAAGGCATATCTTTCAGTCATTTCTTCATTTTCCCAGTAGGTGTGCCCACGTATTTGTTCAGCTCTGAAAGCAGATGGCTGAGGTAAAGGAGCTTCTTCTCAGAGATCCAAATTACAAGTCAATGGAGGAAGTTACAAAAAATTAAAGCCCTTAATTTTTCTAGAGAGAAACAAGCAGAGTGAGCATGTGTGTGCATCACTGTTTTCAGGTTACGTTTACCCACTTTTTAAAGTCTGTTATCTCAGTGCTCTGAGGATGCATTTGCAGCTGGCTTTCAATGGGAGTAACAATTTTTCCAAAAGTGAGCATTGCAAAGGACTGAAGAAGAGCAGGTAATAAAACAAGCCAGTCTAAGTTGGGAAATTTTACACAGATGGCGCAGCAGGATTCTATTCCTGTCACTAAATCTATACCAGATATCTGTCAATGAAAAATGAACTACTTCAGAGGTCTTTTTGGTGTAAGTCGCACACGACCACCACGAGTATGAAAGTTGGTATCATGCGAAGAGTTGTGGCATTTGGGAGAAAAATGCAGCTCCAAGTACTATCACGTTTGGGACTGGATTAAGAGAAGAAGTCATAAACGCTTCTCTCCACTAGTGATTTCTCTGCTGCTTATGCTCCAAAGGCAGCTTTTGCAAGATACATTTATGCAGCAGTGCTGCAGCCATAGCAGGATGGTAGACAAAGCATTTCATTTTCTTTCCCAAACTCATTATGTGTTAGCTTCATGTTCACAAAAGAAAAAGTAACTTTATCAAATTCATGAATTTAGATTTTTATTTGATGTGACAAGCGGTAACAACAACAAAACCTTTTCAATGCCTGAAGTTATGTTGTGGGTTCACTGGTATTCAGCTAAAGGAAAGTAGAGTCAGTCTGTAGATTTTCATCAATCAGAAAAGAAAGCCAGCAGCTTCCTTCTTAAGCTTTAAAACCCAAATCCTGTTACAAATTCTATATGAAACATAAACAAGTACTTGTTCTTAGAGGGAAGTCTGGGAACTACATTTGGAGAATGCTGTGGGCTGTATATCATTTCCTTTCCATTGCTGCCTATCTCATGTTTCTTCTGCAAGTTGAAGGGCTAGAGTTCTGGCAGCATACTGCTTCTCTCATTTTCTTTTTCAAGTCTACCCACAGGTAATTGTCACAAGTCTGGGAACAGTGCAAGGGCAAAACCCAACAAAAATACTGAAAACTAAAGGGAAAACATGGGCTACAAAAACACCTACTGAACACCGGCTTTTTTTTCCTTTCAGCTTCGTTATCTATTTTTAACTGCTCCTACAAAGTACTCAGTATCATGGACATGTATAGTCCAAACACAACAGAAGTTTGTCAACAGAAGTTTGTTTTTCAGGTATGCACAGTTCCTGGAAGAGCTCAACTCACACACTCCCAAGGTGAGTGTTTTTATAGCAGCATTAAGTAACTTCAAATTTGTCACCTTTGGTTTGTCTTAATATGTTTCCTGAATGATAAAGAGGAATGTCTGTGCATGCTCACGTGCATCTATGAGTGCGAGAGTACTGCTTGAAGTTCAGACATTCATGAAAAACAAAACAAAATTGAGTTAGACGTATTGAGTGTTATGAGGGAGTCATATGATCAAAGTGGCCAGTTGACCTCTTACGTACCAGCTGCTGAGAGGGAGAAAATGTGGTGGAAAGGCTGAAGAATGACCATGAAGCACCAGATTGAGCAGCTGGCAGAGTGCAGATAAAGATGGTGAAGAACAGGCAATGAAGAACTGGGCAATGAAGAAGCATTGCGGGCTGAGATCTACAGTGCCAGGTGAAGAAGTCTACTGCAGAGCCATGAACATGGGCAAGCACTGTGAGGGGAGGGGGGGGGGGAATGTGAGCTCTATGTCTTTTATGTGGGTGCTCTGTGGGGCAGACAATGGCCCCGTCTAAGGGCAGAGAATTGTGCTAATGAAGGCAATGCAAGAGAGTGTAAAGCATGGTGGCAGAGCAGATTAAAACTTCTGGGTTATGAGCATGCTAAAGCTTGATTGTGTGCATCAGGATAGGAAGCCTGAATGGGTCAAAGGAGACCAGATCTTTTTTTTTTTAGAAAGAATGTCAACTTTGATTATTCAAACTAAAGTGTGGTAGATGACTTCTGAAACTGTGAAAATGACTTGCAGTGAGCCTTAGCAGTCAGAGATGCAGTAGAAAATTGCGGATCCCTGCAATCCCCAGTTCAGCTCTCTACTAGCACTGGCTCTGCATTCAATAATATCACATTTTGTAGCATCAGCAATTCTGTATGCACTGTTCCTTTTAAGAAAATTACCCGCTAACATAGTACCACCTGTTTAGCAGTGGGAAAGATTATGTACTTAAGATGTTCAGCTGAATAATACATACAAACGCCTGACATTTGGCCTGATCTGAGAAAAGGCGACATGCTTATTTAACAATTTTGAAAATGTTAAAATGACGAGGTAGAGATAAAATGTCATTTTAATATATTTGTATTTAACTTATCTGATTCAGCCATTTCCTGCTTTTCCCCTTGGCATATTTGAAGTGGGGGTCATGGCAGCAGTCTGACACTGTGGATACTTTGAACGATGCCCTGAACATTGTTGGCATTTCAGCCTAATTAGTTGCATCCTATTCTGTGATTTGTCTTTGGTCCTTTGGGTTGCTGGCCAAGGATATTTTTTTTTTTTTAACCATTTTTTATGCTCATCATTGTCTCATTTTAAATGTCAACAGACCAGTACTTGTGTAATTGGTTTATTTTCTCCTTATTTCTTTTCTCCCTGGTGTTGGAAAATTTGAAAATCCATTTCTAGATCTCAGACTATATTAGAAAAATCCGTCTCAGGTATGAGTGACAAATAGGACCTGATCATGTCAGTGCAGATCCTGGGTACGGCCATGTATTTTCCTGGATGGTATCCACCATTACCCATAGTTTTGGACTGGGATGATCTTGGCTCAGGCTGGTTTATTCACTTTTGCTGGCAATGGGCCATAATACAGAGTAGCATAGCTAAAGGACAGATCTGCATCTTCCCTTTAGGGCACAGTTCTCAAGCAGAAAGCCCTGACAGCTTTCCTTTTGCTGGGGTTCCCACTGAATATGCATGATGCTGGGGCAGCTCATTCTGAAAATGATTGCTGAGTTCAGCTGTGCATCAAAGGCTTATGCTTAAAGGAAGGAAGGTGTCACCATGCTCAGTTACAGAAAGACTGGCAAGCCTAGTGGGTGCACTGAGCAAAGATGGCCGCATGGAGCCGCCATGTCGGTCTGCTCTCACTCCTCCCATGCCTATGTTGCTGTCAAAGTTTTTGAATTTCTATCGCAATGTAAAGCCGAGCACCAGGTGCCAAATGAAACTAAGTGGCTTTAAATTGGAAACACACATTTTTGTCATCGCTATTTATTACAATACATGCCAATGAAAATTGCGCTTTTGCTGAAACTACGGGGGAAATCGGAAAGGTCATGCACAATATTGAGCTAAGAAAAATGTCATGCTTTAAACAGCACCGTGAAGAGCATAAAACCAGATGAAGGCCTGTGTAGTTTTTCTGTGATCAAAAAAGATGATTTAAAGTTATGACTGGGACGTGCCAGTCTTGCTGGTATCTGACACCATTAGATGAACTGCTGATAAATATAATAGCTTTGCCAAACAATCTCAGGGAAAGAAAACCTTCAGCCCAATAAAAAGAGAACTGAAAAGCAACTTCTGTGAAACCAACCAAAAATACAACCAAAAGTTGCTCATATTGGTTACAGTATAAAATAGCCAATACATTTTTATTCCATAAATATAATTTGAAAGAACCTAAACCCAGAAAAAATCACCACTGAGGTGAGAACTCTGTTTGGCCTTTAGGACTCCACCTGTGCCTTGATTCATAATTCATACTCTGACTTTTCTATGTGCAAGAGGCCTTCGCACCTCATGGCATGCATTATAGATGGAGGGGCTTAGGTTAAAGCATGCTTTTACTGTGAGGCGTAGGGTATCAGACATTATCCACATCAAATTCATGTGTGCAATTTCAACAAGACCTTACTCTGCTCCCTGTAAATACACACCAGATGTATGTTTTATAAATGTTAGGTTTTGCTCTATCTTTACACATGCCTGTAGTTTGAAGCCTACGCATGCTTCATTGTGGCAGGAAAGCCCCATCCACTCATCCATCTGTGATGTTTTGCAATAGGCAAAATTTCAGCGTTGGCAGCTACTCCTCGTTTGACTTTATTAACTTACGACGTCTCTGGTTTCAAGTTGTTTTCAAAGGAGTCAGTTTTCCTTAGCTGTGAGGTGACTGAATAGAATAGGAAAAGGAACTTCACCAAAATTCTCCAATTTGTGATTCCTGACATTATGTGACACCACAAATGTAAGACTTGTCCTGCCCTGAGACTTGGGGCTTAAGTTATACAAAACACAGCTCAGAAATTTTTGGCTGGAAAAAAGACTTGGCTGTCTCCTCTCTGAAGACAAGCTTTCTGCTGTGGGCCTGCACTATTAAGGT